GCTGTGGTGTGTTGGTCACTTGTGAGATCTTGCTGCATGCCAGTTGAAAAACTGAGATTGATATGTATAGGTATGCACTTAGTTCTGAAGGATTGATTTTTTTTTTTTTTTTTGTATATATACAAAATACAATTCATGACTAAATAATTACTTAGTTGATAGCTTTTAAGAATCTGGTCAGACAGATTGTTCTTTCTGCAGTCTCTAATCTCTATTTGGAACAAAGATAACAATGCTTTGTTGTGGGGAGGGACGTATTTACACTTCACTAGTCCTTTTTTTTTTTTTTTTTTCCCCCTCCTGTCTATGGTGATTTTTACATGGGAAGCTAAGCTTGCTGAGGCAAGTAAAAATACTCTGTTGTGTTTTGTTTTGGTGGTTTTTTTTTTTTTTAATTGTTGTTTTATTTTAAAGAAACCAAATTACTTACTATCTCAGTTTGTGAACTGCAGTCTTCTCTGAGACAGATACAGCTCTGCTTTGCAGAACTAAAGGTTCCTATCACTACAGGCCTGACTATCCTGTTTTGAGTAATCTGCCAAGTATCAGCCCATTTCCTGGTTTTCCAGAGCTGGGTTGGCTCTTGGCCCCTTCGCCAGCCTCCTGCTCCATGCTGTGGGGTCATCAGATCCCATCTGATGAACTCCCTGCATCCCGGCTTGTGTGGGTGCTGTGTCCTGCCCAGCTGCCAGCTGGTGTGTCCCAGAGGTCCTGGGCCCAGTGAATCTTTTTACAGTGTGTGCTCAAGTGCATTTGGAGTGAGTTTTTGCAGAGAACAAGGCTTTTTTCCAGCCACAGTGTTTGAGTCTGCGGGTTGCAGAGAAAGTACTTTTGAGATGAACCTGTGGTAATTTGTCACTGCCTGCCCATGTAATGAAGAATTAAACTCCTAGCAAATGATGCTGCTACTGAATTAGGAATAGTGTAAGGGGTAATTTATCTGTGGAGCACTCAAGCCCGCCAGTGGCTTTCTTGACACCAGATACACTGAGGAATCTGACTTAGTTAATTATTTTGCCTTGGGAGGCACTTTATTTTGGTATCAGTAAATTCACTTGTACGAGTCCGCTGAGGAAAAATTGCAGTACAGTTCAGCCTACAAATGACATTGCTTTTCCGAGGGCAAAGATGTGCTGCCTTGGTTACACAATAGTTACTGCTCACAACGAGCTCCCTGCATTGTTGTTTATGAAGGGAAGCATCTCGTGTCCTTGACCCTGTTTCCTAATCGCTTGGGTATCCTGCAGTGGTACACCCCCTGGCTACCAATGGTATTAAAAAGTTCTTCCCCTTCCTGTTGCTCATCCCCTCAAGGCCTCTTTGCCGTAGCAGATGATATTATTCATAGTACATCATGCACATCATGAATTGCATTTGAAGAGAAGCATCTGGCTTCTTCATCAGGGTTTCTGCCTGTGAATGTTGAAAAGCAGATACCACTAGTATTCTGCGTCTAAGGTAACTCAGAATATTTTTTCTCTGACTAAACATTTATTAAAAATACTTATAAGTCAGGACAGTAGACATTGCGTTACTTCTGGTCTCTTGAGATGGCAGGTGGAATCCTGACTCTCTGCACATAGAGGTGTAAAAGCTGAAGGCTTCGTGGTGTGCATGGCCGAGTACGATACAGCTGGGCTCCTGGGGAAGTTTATGTTTGAAAGAAAGAATTTTCCAGGCTGTGGAGCAGTCCTCCTTCCTGGCTGTAGTATTTTGATCTTCCTGGAGGGGAGAATGAACAGGCATGTGTCATTTGTAACCTAGTACGGGATGGAGTTGAATCCACTGTGGTTTTCAGTAATTTGTTGTATGAGGAAAAATGTGCAATACAGAGATGGCTTCTGTTCTTTGCAATCCCTGTAAGCCCTGCAAAAGCAGTCCCACCATTTAATCTGATAAAAAAACAAGTTGTTTTTTATCTGATGGCTGGTAGTGTTGAGAAATAGTACACTTGAAGGTAGTGATGACCTGCTTCTCTGCACCAAGGACAGGTTTACAGGATGCAGCCTCCGCTTTGCCACTGCTGCCAGCCATCTCGCTTCTGTGTTCTTGCTGTGCTTCACTGGTCACCTTGCTGATACACTTAAAAACAGTATTACAGCAAGTAAGTCTAGTCTGGATAATGATCTATGCACGTAACTACATCTTGACTATGACTTGCTCTCTTTTAGCCGTATCACTGTAGGATCAGAAGCATTAAAGCAGATAGAGATGTCGTGTGTGTGAGTTCCAAGCACGTGCTTATCCTCCTGCGAGCTGCCATGAGCATGACATCAGGAAGGTGTTCACACAGCAGTTTGACAAGAGTTCAGAGATGCTCCTTGCAGAGTTAGTGTGAATCTGAGAGCTTCCTCCCTACCCACTCAATTTCTGTGATTTTTCTGGTGGCACCTTGAAATAGTGCTTTAAACAAACGTAAAAATTCCAAGTGGAAAGATCTTACGCGTGGTTCTGCTACATACTTTATGGTGGATGATCATCTGAACACACGAGCAGTTGCATTGGGAGCTGTAGCCAGCCAGTACAACGGAGAGCATTGGATACACTTCAATTTAATAGTTAAACTATGCACTTAGTATGTTTACTATAATATCCTGGTATTTATGTATGGCTTAAGAATATCTCAGTTTGTTGTTCAGATGCTGCATACTGCAAAGGTACTTGAATGCTTAAAGCTAGAATAATCCAGTTCTAAAATTAATCTAGATTTTGTAGAAATGTGTACTGGCTTGGAGGCTGTTATATTCACCGAGGTATAGCTTGACCTTGAACCACTGATACATTTCTGCTGAGTAGTAATGCTTATGACCTTGCGAATTTAGAAAATACTGATGTTGCTAGGACTTTTCAACTACAAAAAAAAATACTTCCAAAAAGTACAAAAGATCATTGTCCTTTAATTTGCTTTGGAAATTATTTTTAAGATGAAGGTGGGTGGGTAAGAAGGTTTCTGAAGCTGGATTTTGTCTGTGTAGGAATTTATACAGGTATGATGTGATTTAAAACTGTTAAACTTAACGTCTGTTCAGCTGCTGGTGCAGCTTGATACAGAAATGGCATTAATGATGAGCAATACTGATACAAATGACATTAAAGTCATTAACACTGACTTTATGGTTGAAGTTCAGAATGGTCACTGATGTGCCAGTGCAGTGCTACAGCTAACTTTCTAATATGCTCACGGTTTTACCTATCAATAAAAAAAATACCCTAACTTTAGCTGCTTATGACCAGCCACGTGTGCTTCCAGTTGAATAGTAATGCCACTTTCTTTATGATCGATTATTCTGTGTTGAAGTTACTATTTACAGAGTACTGAAGTGTGTGGCACATCACAGGGCAGAAGCTGTCTTCCCTTCTTAGAAAATTAGAGATATATCAACTTCTCTGTTAGGAATCTTTATCTTCTGTTAAAAATAGCATTCAAGAGTACTGAAGCATTGGCAGGCATCATGGTTGTCTTGCTTTAGACCTTTTAGTCCATTGGTTCATCTGTGTTAACTTCGTGTCGGTTGTAGAACAAAAAAGGGGGAAAACTTACAGAAGAGCCTAATTTGATACTGTCGGAACTGAAAGTGGAGCTTTATTTTGTAGAGGTCTGGTATTCCAATCAAATGTATTAAGATTGTAATTAAACTTGACAGACTCTAAAGTGATTAGTGTGCATGCTAAAGTGATGGTTTTAATGCTTGATCTTAATGTCCGATTTTTTTAAAATCAGACATTTGTGTTGATGACATATATTTTATGCCTGCTGTGCATTTAGCAATATTAAATAGTCTGGGCTTCTGAAATAGGAAGGTGATAGTAAATAAAGTAGTCTCCTAGAGTATTCACATATGAATTACAGTGTCTTTGTAGTTGAACGGCGTGGGTTTAAGGAAGGGGAAGGTGTGAACTTCATAGTTTGCTTATGTATAGCTGAAAATACTAGTTAGACCTTCTAAGTCACCACTCTGCTCTTACCAATTAGGATGTATTTTGGTTTGGAGATGATCCAATCTGTGTGTGTTTGTGTTTGCCACCTTTCTGATGTACTTTTTCTGTCATGAAAAAAACACAGGCAAGTGCCTGGCTTGTTTGTGAACTAGCTACTAGCTTGTTTTACTTTCAATGCAAGGATATTGAAGTCCACATGTATGTGAATAGACTTAAGAGGTCTCTGTAGTGGTGTTTGACTGCATTGCTCTACTGGGGATAAAGAGGAAGGCTGATCTGAGGGAACTGTTCAATGCACTGAAAAAATGAGATGCAAAATCTGATTGAAAAAAATTACTAACCTGAAAGCATGCTTGCATGCTTACTGTTTATTGATCTTTTTATTAAGGTTGCTTTGAGTCCTTGTTCAGATGAGAAGTGCTTTAGGCTGCTGTGGACTGGACCAGCATGAGGATGCTTTTAGGGATGGTTTGGTGTTTATTGTCCCTTCTCACTGTGCGGGTGCTTTTGAAATGAAAACATCATTGTGCCTTGCCCAAGGAAAATATGGGGAAAAAATTGTAGAAAACCTGCTATTTCATCCGTGGTCTAGGATTCAAAATTTTCATCTTTAATTAAAACAAAAGCCGCCTTGGATGTCATGTGCAAGGGTGCTTGTGTCATAGCACTGTTGAGCTCAAAAATGTTTAAGGTGAGCACGGCAGTCTTTGCTCTCTGTTGCCATCTTGGGGTGAAGACTGACGGAGGTTTCCGGGTGGGTGAGAAGAGTGGTGCTACAAATGCATTCAGTAACAGTCTTTTAAAGTACACTGGGTGGTTCTGTTGACAGTTGCTTCTATATTCAAAATAGACTTCATTTACTTCTGCTTTTCATTATAATTCAGGAATTGAAATAACTTGGGTCTTGCCAAATTTATTGGACAGTGTACTAAAGGGAGCGTCTTTTTGGAAGCCTTTCTAAAGGCCGGAGAAACATATATAGGCTTGTGGGGCTTTTTGTTTTGTTTGTTAAGGAGGAGAAAGTGATACTGAAACTTACTTTTCTTCTCTCTTATTGGCAGGTTTTCTTCACCAGTGGAGTGTGAGAAATAGAGACTGAAGAAGATGAGTGAGCTGGAACAGTTACGGCAGGAGGCAGAGCAGCTGCGAAATCAAATCAGAGTAAGAACTGATAATTACTTGTTTTTCATGTTAAAGTTCCTCATTTAAAGGAATAAAGTCTAAAGGTCACATCTATTACTTGTTCCTGTTCAGGTTGTACAGAGCTTTAAATATTTTCAGAATATTTGTTTAAAAATCAGAAAAGTAATCTGTAGGTATAATTAAATGCGTTCATAATACTTATGGAACAAAATGTTTTCTTTCCTATTGAAGTTTGCTATGTTTTATTACTAGGGGTGTATGTGTCTCTTGTCTTAATGTGGATTTTAAAATGGGAGCAGCAAACTTCTAGAGCTGAGGCATGACCAGTTGGGGCTAAAGGTATTAGAAAAGCTTGTTTCTGGGATAAAAGTGACCACTGCACTGACGCTTTTGATAAGCATGAAGGTCAAAGCATGGAGTGCAAGGGAAAACCTTCCAGGGGTGGATGTATTTTCTGTAAGCCTAATTTCTTTTCTTCCTGTTGAATTTTATTATTTTTTTTTGAAAATGCAGATCTCCCCATATGTGCTAATTTTTTGTTGAAATTACTCACTGAAAATAAATCAAGTATGATCTGTCATGCGCAAAGCCAGTTTACCAGAAATCCGCTGCAACATACCTGTGTATTTCAGTGATGCAGTTTTCCATAGAGAGAAAAGTATGAAGCATAGTAAGGACTTTTAAAGTCTCTTTATTCTTCATCAAAATTCCCTTTTTCTAAGCATGAAGCATCCATAAATCTGATTTGTATGGGAAGGTCTTATTTGCAATAATTACTGTCAACTAAGACTACAGGTTTCTCAGAATGTGTTGCATGCCCATTGGCTTTTTTAGCATGACAGCAGCTGACAGCAGTTGTTCTGTGGTGGTCTGCTGCTTAGTGCAGTGGGCATTAGGTGGCTTTTCAGTATCAGCCATGTGATAATCACGTTTGGTGTGTTGGGGCAATTCTTGCTTTCATTGCTGCTCATCCAGTATCCTTCAAGGAGAGTTCCAGTCCTATTGTTTTCACTTAATACACCCATGAAAGACAAGCCCAGGGGTCAGTCAGTGTTGTGGCACTGGGTACTCTTCTCACAGCTCTGTAAAGGAATGCAAATAAACTTTAGTTTAAAATACTATTTTGTGAGTTTAGGCTTTATTATGGCACTGCACAAATAAAAGGTATTTTTCAGTTCTTCTTCTGCCTTGTGTATGAAGACTTTCTCATTACATCACGTTGGGGTGAGCCAGTTAGTCTTTAGTTCAGTCTTAGTAATTGATCACTCTGGTTTTATGTAAAATGATGTTCTGGGAAGAGAGAGATACTAGGCAAGTAAGAGATCTGTACTGTGTTACAAGAACGTTTGCTTTATTAATTCTGGAGCATAAAAACCTGATGGCTCTCTGTATAAGCACACCATTTTGTGGCTCTAGGTCAGCTTAACATTTCTCTTGCAACTCTGACCCAAATTTGAAACTGGATCTACACAGATGCAACTGAGTATGCAGCCCTGGCTATCGCCATTGGAGTCTTCTGTCTCATCATGGGCAGTTAGTGTTTGCTGCTTTGGATCTGAGTGCAGGGTTGAATACCTTAAGCTTAATTTTAACTTTAGATTAATATGCAATTAGAAAATGCTCCTGGTGACTTAATCATTTTTCAAGTAACTTTCTCACCAAATAATTCAGCTTCATATTTGTATAGGTGAATATTTATCTTATTAAGTCATTGCACAGTTTTCATTCTGAATAGGTCTTTTGGGATGGGTAAGAATGAAAAATAACGGTTTTCTAAGTGTCTAGAATATATAATGGGCTGGTAATTTTCGGGAATTATTCTTGATGCATTCCTAAAAAGAGGTGAGGTTGGGAACAACATTTGATGTTTTATATATAGCTAGCAATTTGCTATCTTAGTTACTTGGTGTTTTTTGCCTGATATTTTCTCTAACAATATAATAATGAAAAATCAGCTTTGTGCATAAAAGTGAAATAAAAGTAAGATTGTACCTAGCAACCTCCTAAGGCAGAATAAACTGTGATGCGTAGTTGTTGGTTTCCAAATAGACTCTATAGTCTGCAATGTTTTTGAAATGCCTAGTGATAGTTTTTTTACAGTATCTAGGTGATATGAGTACCTTTGCCTCCCCTAGAGCTGTACCTCTGTTCTGTACACATAGACTGTGATAGAGGGATAAAATAAAACTGCACGAATTTTTAGGCAAGAAGTTTGAAACATATGTGAATGTTGAACTATTAGATAGCAGGATGGCTTTGTGGTTAAAGTTAATTCCTATTTCTGTCTCTAATAAAGTTCCCATGTGAAGCATGTCCTCGCTTTGAGAATTGAAACTCAAGATACGATTTTTGGAGGAGTTGCATATTTGGCACAGTGTCCTTTGCAATTGAATGGCATTTTGAACAAATATAAGACACTATATTTTAAAAAATACATATATATATATATATATATATATAGTTTTGGAAGAACATACTAAATCTTAAGCGTGAATGCTAGGAAATTTTGGGGACTGCACATTGACTGATTTTTCTCACAAATTCTGCATTTTCTACTGTATGAACTGAAAAAAACATACAATTCTATGAAGGAACTCATATGTTAGGACACTAATGATTCTGTTACAACGACGCATATGTAGAAATGACAGTTAAAATGTGAGAACTAAAGTAGCCTGTTGAAACTTTGCTTTTCCTGCAGCTTTGCCTATTACATGGGAAGTATTGGACAGCCTCAAGTATAGGTGTTGCTAACAGCACTTTCGTTAAGAAAAATTGCTTTGTTTGATTCAGATTGCATTCAGAATACATTTTATGTTGAACATCTTCAAGTGTTTCAGATAAACTAAACAAAGTTGTTTAAACTTCAGTGTGTTTCTTCCTGTGGATGAAATAAGTCCTGAGTGCTAAGGGATTTGCTGCTCTGGTATTTTAAACCCCTCCTGATTCCAGACGTCAACATTTTATAAATATTTCTCCAGTTCAGACATTTTAAAAATAAGATGAGATGACTTAATCCACTCTCATGCTTGCTTTCTGGGAGGAAAGCTGTAAAGGGCGGTCAAAATAAACACGTACTAAAAAACTATTGAAGTTGCAATGTCAAGTAATTCTCAAGCAAGAGATTGAAAAATGTTTAAGATCCTAGTCTGAATGCGTTGATGCAGTTCCAAAATGCATGAGTAAATGTTTCTGTTCCTCTCCTCAAAGAGGACATTGCCTTTAGTGCATGTGTTGAACACTTTTTTGGGGCAGGGGGGGAACACACATCTTAGTGGTGAAGGCCATCAGTCATTTGTGGGATGCCTGCTTCATTGGTTACAGAAACTGGAAGGTATTTGGAGAAATTGCAGGGAGTTAGAGAGGGTGTGGTGGCTGGTCCTTCAGTACTGCTGGTGATAGTTTTAACTCGTGCTATAGAGTTCCTGTCTAATTTTAAGCCAATCATTTTAAACCATGCTTCTCAGAAGTGGTTGCTGACTGTGTACCTGTGTCTTTCGAAGACGAGAGCCTGCGTTGCAGGAGTGTAGTGCAACTGCAGTTGTAACTGAAACTAAGTTTTGCAAAATCGGAGTTTTGCAAGTTGGGCTCAGTGGTGCTCGCCTGTGTCAGGTGCCCACTCTGCTCCTCTGAATATACAAACGAAAGTAAAGTCTGTTTTCTAGGTTGGGTTGAATAATATGCAGAAAATCAGTCATATGCCCATAGAATCTGAAATAATGAGAAAAAGGTCAGAGTATCTGTATGGAGACCCGAGTACCATCCATCCCATGAACTAAATGTTGACTGTTTTTTTTTCCTGCACTTTGTATGAAGTGCATCAGCAGCTGAAGCTTTGGTAAGCCTGCTGTCCATCCTGCTGTCCAGATCCTGCCTCTCATAACCAGCATCGTCACACCTGCGATGGCAAGGGGCTTAGTGCAAGAGCCCGTGTAGCACAGAGCTTCCTCACTGTAATATGTAGTTGTTTTTTCAGGTCGATCAGTTCTTCCCTTGATGCTCAGCACACCCTGAGCAAGCTCATCTGTACCAGGGAAGGAATACAGGGAAGAGGGTAGGCACTGGGACGTCAGGCTGGCTCCAGATGCCTCCGAATCACATATTTGGCAGAAAAGGAGACTCAAAGGTTGCAGGAGCCTAGCCCTTAAACCCCTCTTCCTCCACTACCCCAGCTTGTGTGCCAGTGCTTTAGATTCCTTGGAAAATAAAACCTGTTAGGGTGACAGAAGGCATGTTGGCATGTAAGTTGCTGTTGGTTTCTGGCTTTTTGAGTGTGGTGAAATCTAGCTTAAGAGTTATTTTCCTTTAGACACTTCCTCTCGCTTGATGCTCAGTGTAGCCTTTTATGTTTAAATTGTTCCATTCTTTTTTTTCAGGATGCAAGGAAGGCATGTAGTGACACAACTCTTGCTCAGGTATGTTCTTGATTCTGTGTATAGATTTTTACTTGATACGTAAAATAAAAAACCTTACGATTTATGACTGTAACATGTTCCTGTTTCATAACTGAAAGAATAAAGTGAAAGAAGCATTTGGAACTATACTGTGTATTTATGTAGTTATTTAAAACAAAACAACCCCCCCAAACCAAAAATCCCAATTAGTCAAAAACATCCCCGCCATCTTAATGGGTCCTGCTTCCAGTTGACCTTTTGAACAGAGTGTGTTTATTGTATTTACTATATTTAAAAAGACTTAAATAAATGTCTTTTAACTGTATTTGGGAAGCAAAAGTATTTTGCGTGTAAAGTTCTGCCATGCTTTAAACAGTAACTGCAGTAAATAGTGTTTTCTTCCATTGGTTTTAATTGAAAACGTTCAGATTTGATAATCTGAAATTGCCTCAGTATTACTTTTTAAAAACTTTTTGAACCTTCAGGTATAGCCATTGTGAAGTGTGTTAGCGTATCTTCTGTAAATCTGTTTTCCTTGGTGTTGTGTGGACCTAATCCTGGGTTGCACACTAGTATTTTTTTTTTTTTAATGTTGCATGTCAAGATAGATTATTTTCTATCAAAGTTCAAATGTATTTAGTTATCTTGTATATTAAAAATAGTTCTCAGTATCTCAGGGGTTTGTTTTATTTATTTTTAGATCACAACAAGTCTGGACTCAGTGGGTCGAATTCAAATGCGAACAAGGCGTACGCTTAGAGGTCACTTAGCCAAAATCTATGCTATGCACTGGGGATCTGACTCGAGGTTTGTACAAGTGATCCTTAAACCTGCAGCTTAAGGGTTAGAAATCAGGTTGTCTAGGTCAGATCTATCGGCAGGTTTTGGGAGCCCTCTGGAATGGTGTTGGTGCCCTTGCAGGGGGATCACAGACCACGACTGGTGGGTTTTTTGCCTTCAGTGGTAGTTTGGCTTTTTTGAACCAGTCAGGATTGCACAGTGGTAATAGATCAGCCGTGATTGAAAGGAGAGGTACTTTGCTTGTTCTCACTACAGACATTTTGCCTTTCCCTTCTTTTAGTTGTAACTAAGTTCTTTGAGTCTGTTTAAACAGAGGAGGGTATGTGGTGAGGCATATTGTTGGAATGATGGTCTTATATTTTTCATAGACATTGAATAATTCTGTAACTTCTGTGATAACAGAGGTTTAAAAACACATTTTATTTCGCTGAAAAGAAGATCCTTTTGTACATAGCAGGAAAAGTTACTTAGCTTCTAGGAAGGAGTTTTGTTATGCTGCCTTTAGAGCAACTGATGGTCAGATGCTAACAGTGCCTCATGGTCTATTCTGTCATGTAGTCCAGAAGGAAATACATCTAGGATCTGCTATCAAAATAAGATTTATTTTCCCCTAAATTTCTTGTTTATTTTTGTATAGCCGTACAGTAAATTAAAAATAAAAGCAGTGGAGAGCGTTCATAAAGTGCATTTTTAGTAAGTTGTTTGGTTTTGTCCATTGTTAATCATGAATCTCTGTGGACACGTGATTCTTTGGCTCGGTAATATGTAGACCTTTGCAGATTTTTTTCCCAGAAATGCCTCCTCCCATGCCCCTACACCCCCATCTACCTCTTCCCTTTCCTCCCCCCCACAAAAAAAGAGGGTAATAAACAAAAGCTGTGAAATTTCCGAATCACTTAGTAATCATGCATGATATATGTCTGAGATGGTTTTGTTTGGTTGTTGGTTTATAAACATATTTTCTGTTTGTTTAGGCTACTAGTCAGTGCTTCTCAAGATGGAAAACTAATTATTTGGGATAGTTATACAACAAACAAGGTAGAGTTATTTACCTTCCGTATCAGTAATTTGTGCGTGGTTTGTATGTTTGAGGGGGCTTGTGTCTATTTTTTCTCTGCTTGCAAGGCAAAAATGAAAAGAAGCAGCTTTTTTGTAAATGAGACCTAATCTTTCTTTTTTGTTTCATGACTAGCTCAGTAGTGATGTGTTACAGGTTGTGTCTCAGAAGCAGTAGTTCTAGGTAATCAGTAATGTTTTCACTCTTAATTTGCTAGTGCAGTAGCTTGTAGCCATTGCTCTGCGCCTGTGTGGTGTAGCTTCTGAACTAATTTGTTTTTTAATTGTGGAAATACACAGCCTCAGAATTTACAAGAGTGCTTTTCTTTTGAGGGCAGAGAAAAGAGGAGGGAGGGAGGGAAAAAGGCCAAAAAAAAAAATAAAGCTGTTAAATGAGAAAAGCTTAAGTAGAGTGTGGAGTGAGGATCTGCTTCTGTAAACTGGCCAGTCTCCATGGATACAGCCCTCCCATTTTATAACCTATAGTTCAGAGATGTAGAAGATCTGGACAAAGAAATCGAAGTAGAATAAACAAATGTTATAAATGTTTAAGATGAGAATAGTTTTGCTATTAAATAATGTTGTACTGAAGCTCTGTATATCTACCCCAGAGACTACTGGTGGTTTTTGCCCTAGTACGTATTTATAAATATGAAATGAGCTGTAGTAAATTGTAAAATCAAAATATTGAACCTTACGATACACAAGTACTTGGTGTGTTTAATGTGCTATAATTCATTAACTGATCTGGATGACCACAGTGAAAAGTGGAAGCTAATGTGTGACGTAGCATTCATGAGCTCTGTCTTTCTGAAGATGCACGCCATTCCTTTGAGATCCTCCTGGGTGATGACTTGTGCGTACGCACCGTCTGGAAACTACGTTGCCTGTGGTGGATTGGACAACATCTGTTCCATATACAACTTAAAAACCAGAGAGGGCAACGTGCGAGTGAGCCGAGAGTTGCCAGGGCATACAGGTCAGCCATATTCTTGCTTCAGCTTTGACTTTTTTTATTGCACCGAATGAAACAATCTCACTTTGAGGTGTATTGTGAACTGTGCAATCGTTTTGCTGGTTACGGATCAGCTATGGGAGAACTTTAACCACTGATCATGGATTTTAAACTTCAGTTACTAATCCTGGGCCTGAAACTAATGTAACTGTTTTGTTTTTAGGATACTTGTCCTGTTGTCGTTTTCTAGATGACAACCAAATTGTCACTAGCTCAGGAGATACCACTTGGTGAGTTTTTGAGCTCTGTTGGCCTGGGTTCTTTTCCTCTTTTTATTTTCTTTCTCTTTTTTTTTTTTTTTTTTTTTTTTTTTCTTTCCAGTGCCTTAATTTATATTTAAAACTTAAACTGTCAAATAACCACATACATTGTGTTAATGTTGTCACTTTATCTGCAGCGCTTTGTGGGACATTGAAACTGGTCAACAGACCACCACATTCACTGGGCACACTGGCGATGTGATGAGTCTCTCTCTAAGTCCAGATATGAGGACTTTTGTTTCGGGTGCCTGTGATGCCTCCTCGAAGCTTTGGGATATTCGAGATGGAATGTGCAGGCAGTCGTTCACAGGGCATGTGTCAGACATTAATGCAGTTTGTGTAAGTGATCATTTGTATTTCCACATGGGAAGAAAGGGGGAGGATAAAAGCTATAGTTGTATGAATTCTGCTTATAGTCTGCTAGGTTACCTTGCTTTAAAATAATTTCCTTTGTTAGGGCAGAGGCTGTTAAATTGTTTGTAGTGAAGAAGGGGATCGAGTTTATAACTGAGTTACTATTACCGTTATCTGAGATGCATTGAAGTGTTCTTGGAATAGTTTGAGCTATGTTTTTATTCAGTAACTGAGACCTTACTTTTTTTAGGAAGCAAAGAATGGAGGAGGGAAACCTTTTGCAGTGTGGCGATATGTTAAAAACTGAAAATTATAGAGAAATGTGATATCCTGAGAGGGAGCAAAATAGCCAAGCGGCCTCATCTTAAAATTTTGTTGTTGAACGAAAGTATATTTGGTATTTTCTGTTGAAAAGAGCTTTCAGCAAAATATTCTGGAAGGCAAAGTTAAAATCAGTGCTTATGTTGAATATTCATCCCTGGAATCATTTTGTAATATTTATAAACTGGATTATATTTCCTCTCTGTCATAGTAACACTATGTTCTGATCTGCAAGATACAAGCCCTGATAAATAGGGAATGAAATCTAAGCCTAAGCTGCATCTGGTTTTGATAAACATGAAAAATTATTAAGGCTGAGAAAATACCAAAAGCGTGACCAGTAGAAAAATGCAGTTCCTATACTTAGACCTGAATCCTGAGATGTGCTGAGCTCTCTTGGTTCCCCTTTCAATCAGTGTGGCTGCTGTAGGAATGACTGATTGGGAGTAGATTTTTTGGAAATCGAATTGCTTGCTTGCAATCTTCTCTCTTGGCTGAGCCAACCTGGCTGCCCAGCTCAAGACAGAACATTGTGTACCACTTCACCCAGGTCTGCCTGGCCCACAGCCAGGAGGCACGAAACTGCATTTTGCTTCATTTTGTAGGAGTTAGTTGCATCCCCTTTGACTCGTGTTATACCGCATGCAGGAAGTGTCTGGGTAAAATTCCAGTCGTCCAGGTGTTACCAATACTATTCTACAAGTGTTTCGTTGCACAGCTGTGTATATGCATTTTCCTAACATGCAAATGTTAAAAAAAAAATATAAAATAAAAGAAATTCTGCATTCATCCAGTCACTTTGGCAAAATATTCCTCTGATATTTGCAAAATAATGCATGAACAAAGTGTTTTTCTGGTGTCAAACTCCCGTCTCTCAATTAAAATTTTCAGTTTTTCCCTAATGGACATGCATTTGCCACTGGATCTGATGATGCCACTTGCCGACTCTTTGACCTACGTGCAGATCAGGAATTAATGATGTATTCGCATGACAACATCATCTGTGGGATCACTTCGGTAGCCTTCTCAAAAAGCGGTCGCCTCTTGCTAGCAGGTTACGATGACTTCAACTGCAACGTGTGGGATACTCTGAAAGGGGAGAGAGCAGGTGAGTACCCGTAACTGCAGTGAGCTGAAGTGGTCCCTTTCCTCAGCAGAAGATGGATATTCCAAATCTACGCCAAACTCAGTGGCAGTTCATTGCCGGCGCTCTCGCTGATGTTAGGGAATCGGCTTGCTTCCTTTTAACACTGTTTTCTTTTGGAATTACTTCCTTTTATTTTATTGCATTTGGTTTTATCTCCAGTTGAACGTTGCTGTGTAGTTGCATGTATAACACGTGGAGTGAAGGCTCCAGTCAGTGAAATACTCCTGTTCTTGGGTATTGGCCATTATCTATCTGTGTGCTGGAAGATACCAGCTCTTGAAGCGAAGGAGCAGCCTTCAAAATTACGTTACATCTACAGAAAATTTATGTAATTGAAGTGTGTGAAATCAAGTAATACAAAATTATACATTTGCATTGACTTTTGCACCCATCGGAGGAAGTAATTCAGATAGTAGTAAGTTACAGTAGTCTTTTTGCATTGGTGGCCATCGTTTCCTGCTGCTGAGAGAGAGAAGTAGACACTGCTGGTCCTTGAATTTAGTCACTTCTGCCAGGAGAGACAGCGTGTTTATAGCAGAGCTGCATCTTTCTCACGTTGTAGAGTCATTTAAATGATGGGCCCTGCTTCAGTTCTGAACTTTGATTCTGCTGTTCAGGCTGAAAATGCCTGGCCACGTCCCTTCATAGACTGGGATGTGGCACCTCGGCAGAGCAGAGGAGTGCAGGAGTGGGTAGGAGGAGAGCAAAACCAAAGTGGGAAGAGGCAGGGTACAGTGCTGGTTTTCTGGTAGTCTGGCACAATGCACGGGGGATTTTTAATCCTTAGGGTTTGCAAAACATGGGAAGCTCAAGGTAGCTCCGGTGTCCAGGGCATTGTCAGAAGACATCACATTTGATTTTTGGAAGCACTTGATGGCTGAAGCCGTGGACAGCATTGCTTGAAAATGGGGAAAAGACAGTAGAGAGCCCAGTTAGGGATGAGGAGGTCTTTGGGGCAGAAAGAAGGAGAAGGCATAAGGGCAGAAAGGAAAACCAAGGCAGTATTGTGTGGACATACTTTTAAAAGCCTAATTGTTGAGTTTCTTGGTAAGACTGTTGTGATGTATATAGTTCTTCAGGGTAAAGACAAAAAGGGTGATTAGATCTTGCGTTGCATCTTTTTTAGCAAATTTGAAGATTTACCTGGGAGAGCAGAGTAAAAGCTGAAGTCCTTGACATTCTGTGCATATTAACTTCCATTGCTTCTTCTTTTTCAGGTGTCCTTGCTGGCCATGACAACCGTGTCAGCTGTTTAGGCGTTACTGATGACGGCATGGCTGTAGCTACAGGGTCTTGGGACAGTTTTCTCAGAATCTGGAATTAACTGGGAGCCAAACATGTACATTCTCCATTTGAGATCTGGAGAGATCAATGCTGCAGCCTATAGCTGTGAAATAACATTTCTACCTTGTATTTGCAGGTGAAGTTTTTCTATTCACTGATTATTACACAAAAAGGCTTTCTGTAAACTAGAAAAAAAAAAAAATCAAGTGAAGAAATAGGGGAGGGGGGAAGAAATCACTGACTTTTTAAAGGGGCCAGCACACATAATCATGGTGACCGACAAACTAAGAGCCAGTCTTTTTGTTTTTGGTGGTTTGGTTAGATTGTCCTTGAAGGGTTTTTGCTTGTGCTCAGTCTGCTAATCCTGTACTTTTTTTTGTACATAACAGAATATACACATTATAGCAGCCAATCATGTAACATTGTCTGTATGTAAAGAAATACGTTTGCATTTTTTAAGGGACTACATTTATAGCTTTGCTTTTAACCCAAGATGTCACTTCTGAGTTTTGTAGTGGATGAACTAGATTGCTGTTTTAAATGTTTTTGTGAATTTACTGTAGATAAAGTGAAGCCAATGGTATGTATGTGTTTTTATAATGGAAGGCATTTGAATTTTTTTTTTTTAAAGGCCCTGGAGACTCCCAGTTAATACCTACCGCCTTATTCACTCACTTCTTGACCTGCTTGCCTATTTTTAATCATGGGGTTCTTCCTTCAAGCCAGTGGTTCCTGGTTCATCCATTGGCAGTCATGGCCTCCAAACACCAAGGAGTTAATGCCAGGCAGACTTGTAACAACAGCAAAAATACTTACGAAATAAAATTAAAAAAAAAAAAAAAAAAAAAAAAACCATGGTTCCAGAAGTATTAGCTTCCTTACTGCAGCTTTTCGCATCAGTTATTCCGTGCAGTCCTTGGGTATGGAAGCCAAGTGACCTGCATTGCTGTCGTTCAGTGGCTGAGTGCTTTTCTTCCTTTTGACAATTCAGCTCTAACTAAATGAGGTAATTCTGGCCCGTCACAGACTCTAGCTGATTTGCACTAACAGAATGATTTGGCGTGGCGCTCAGCGCGCAGAAAGCAGCGTGTTTGCAAAGCTTGCTCAGTTACCACAATCAGCTGAGAAATTCGGGAGGACTTTGCTTAAATTCTTCAAGAAGATTTAAATGTGCAGTTAATCGCCTGTAATCCCCCTCCAGATCAGGGGGTTGCCAAAGCATACCACAACCAAAAGCGCTTGTTGTCAGTTATGTGCGGTGTGAATTATAAAAGGAATTGTGTAACTTCCAGTGAACCAAATAACCTGACTTACCTGTGTGACCCTTCCAAACTGCGTACTATAAACCTAGCGACTCGCTGCTGCTCCTGCGGTCACAGAGGTCTGTACCGCGGTGGCTTAGGAGATGCCAATTGTTCTGCAGCTCTGACACTGTAAATAGCCATCTCCTCTCCTGTTCCCGATTTTATTCCGATTTTGATGTCAGTTGCTTTCACTAGGTTCTGATCAAGTACAGTTGAGTGTAGACAGGAGACAACCGAGTGACTGATGCCCGTCTGAAACGACCCGGGAAGACTGCTTAACTTTTTGGTGCCTGGCAGCAGGCCTGCGCTTGCAGTGGATGTTCTCCCGGGGCTCGGAACGTCTGTGGCGCTTTCGAAAAGGGGAATTAAGTCTGTTGGCTTCTCTTAAGTGACTTACATTAAAGATAGGTGAATTTTAAATCACCAGGTTGGAAGATAGGGTTCATCTGCCCTCATTTGAAGTTAATGGGGAGTCTGGGTATCTCTGGGTCTGGTAGAAAACATAAGTGCCCGGTATCTTGTAGTACCAGAACAGATTTGTGGCCGAGATGAGTATTTGTCGTTTCTGACATTTGTAATCCTCAATTCCAGTACTTCCAGACTGTGCCTGTAAACTTGCCATGTCTGTAACAGTGAAGGTGCCAATAAATGGACCAGTCAATCACAGTAAATTCACTTTTAAAAGAAGAAAAAGGCGCATCTTGTGCTGGAGAAGTATACACGTACTAACAGCAGACTGGGGTGTAGGACCAAAATCAGACTTTGTTGTATGTCACAGGAATTCCTCGGTGTTTTGCTTTACGATCTGTCTGCATTAACAGAACTATTGTGGAATTCCTGTTACTCTCTTAAGTGAGCAGCTCTTTGGGATCTTGCAGACTTGGTTGATTTTTTAGTGGTGCACTTGATTATTTCTTTTTTTTTTTTTTTTTTTTTAAACTCACAGCTGCCTTGAGTGAATCGTTCTGGAAACTTGTTACTAAGGAATTTTAAAAAAAATATTCTTTTTCTAAAGAATTTTTTTCCGTAGAAGTGTGTTTTGAACCAATTTCCTAGTCAACACCTTTGCAAAGACAGGTGCCATTTTTACATTCTGGTATTAAAACTAGTTTCTACTTGTGAAACTCCAAAACCAGTTTTACAAATGTATATAACTTTTTCTTAAAAGTTCAGGTAGACTGTAAACATGGTAATGGCTCTCATAGAGGTATTACAGCAGATAACTCCACTACCATTGTTTGATGGGCAATTGTCTGTTGGATGCAGCTGCTTTTAGAATAAATAAGGAGTGCCAACTGCTTGCTAATGAGGTTTCCAAAAGCATCATACAGGTATCTGCCAGCCCTTGCGGGTCGGCTGACGGGCGTGCGTGGCGCTGCAGCTCCGTCCGTCTCGCGGGAGGAAGCGGGGCACAAGCCCCGAGCGCACGTGGGGAAACAGCGAGTGGCTGATGCTTCGTTTGATCCTGCCAAGGTGCCGTTTGCTGTTTGGTTACTGTCCTGGATAGAGTTTAAAAAAAAAAAGCAGCTTACAGCTTTAATGTAACACGCTGTTGTTACGTGAGGGCGAACAGGGAACCTGTCCTGCTGTGCTCATGCCTTTTTGAAGCGGCTGGTGGTGACCCCTCACAACTGCTGCCCTTCCTAAAACGGATGCGGTTTTTATGGTAAAAGCTCAAACTGCTCCTAACGCGAGGGAGGTAATAAAGTGACTCTTTAGGTTTTACTAGAAAGGTTTTATTCCCAGCTTTGAACCTCAGAAGAAAATGGTGTGTGCCTGTAGGTTGACGAAGGCTCAAGCGTGCAGCGCGTGGGATTTCTAAGCGCGCGCCCCGGCCGCGGCCTCGCTCCCTGTTCAGAAGGTTTGGCAGCACGAGTGGGTACAGCTGAACCCGGCTTTGGCAACAAGCTTTTAATCTACATCATTACCCGAATTTCAAGTAACTTGTGTAATTACAGAAGTGGTCATGAAGAGCACCGTGCCAAAGCGGTGGCGAGGTGCCTCCCTCCCAGCCTCTCTTCTAAAAAGTCAGTCGGTTGCGGCTGGGGCAGCGGAGCTGTGCGCTTTGCGTGACAAGATTTATTGTATTCAGGTACAGGTTTTTTTGGTCAGCATTTTCTGATGTGGATTTTAACTTTGCAATAGCAAATCCTAATCAGGCCAAGCGCCCACCTGTTTAAACCACCTGTTTGTTGGTAGAGATGTTGGTCGAGATTCTGGAAACCGCAAAAAGCTTCTGTGTGGCATCGTGCTGCTGTATACTCGCTTACTCCAGCAACGTGGACCTGTTTCCATCTGTCTCCAGCCCTTTTTTCTTCCAAACATTGCTATCCTCTGCCTTGTGAAATTGCAGGTACGTCGCAGTGTGGGGCAGGACTGATAGTTCAGTGAATTGGCAACAATATTTACCATTAGAAATGGAACGTGGATGAAATGGGCTTTTCCCCCTGCCTGAGGAGAGGGCCTGACCTTGCCTTGGCAAAGCCGAATTGATGTAACAGCTGGTCCTAGTGTGCTTACTGTAATGCATGGGTTGGAAATAGTTAACTCTTTAATTCAGTTAGTGTAACCGCTTGTCCCACAATGAAGTTCACATTACTTTAAGGTGGAATGAAAACATTGTGAAAACATTCCAAGAGTGCTTAGTCTTTCCTCCTTGAGGACACTGTCACCTCCACTAGGTTTAGTGCTGTGCTTTAAGATGTTGGTGAGAGTATTGGCTAATTCAACTAGTTGGTATAAATGGTTGTGTAGCAGAATGACTGATTTTTGAGATAGCATTTCCTGTACAAGTAATTAAGCATGGGTTGATGGTGCACTTTGTATACAGTACTCTGGCATGCATGCTGGTAAAACTACTTCCTACACTTCAGAGGCACCACAAGCCTTTTTATCCAATTGCTGGTTATGTAAAATACATGCAGAATGTTAATGCAGTGTTGTTATGGTAAATGTGTGAACAGTGTTACTAATTGATATAACTGATAACAGATTACATGTGCCTGACATTCTTATACCACACAGTATGTTTAGGTTTTAACTAATATGGACTTCAGTGGAATAGTCTTAGATATTTCAAGCCTTTTGTTTAACTTACACAATGGTGCTCTATTTGTGTTTTTCTCCTTTTTAAAATAAAAGCATCTGAACACTTGTAGTACATATTACATCCAAAGGAGTCCAAAACAAAATGCTTCTAAACATGCTTGATTTTAATTTGCCTTTAGTTTCCAGCATTTCTCATCAGCTAGGTTTGTTTTGTTTTTTTTCTTTTTTACTTGTTGCTGACTACTTTGGAAAACTTCAGTAATGTTACCAATTATGAAGTGATTCTGCACTGCCTTTGGATTGTGTATGTATTCAGAAACAGTCTTAAAGCTTTTATTTAAGCTATTAAAAAAACCAGGGACTTGTGCCATTTGTTCTTTAACAGTGCTGTTGTAAAAAGACTTCCCTGTGAAAAAAAAAATCACTTGCTATGAACTCTGTTTATAGCTTTTTTTTTTTTCCACGATGGATCTTTTTCTTTGTATTTGTACAGTGGCTCAGTGAAAGATGTTGCCATGAGTTGATATTGTAACCAATAAACAAGTGCTTTTAACCAGACTGTGTCACCTGTGCATGTTTCCTTTCCTTAGAGCTGTAATGAGGAGCATCCCCTGCCCTAAAGATGAGGAGCCCTCCTGTGCCAGGGAGGAGAGCACACCAACCCTACCTGCAACAGTGAATTCTGGCCTCTGGGTCCTCGGGGGGTGACCAGAGCTGGCAGGGGCCGCAGTTCCGTCCTACAGGGGCCGGGCGCTACGGCTGGGAGCGCCAAGGGCCGGGCTTCCACCTCCGAGCGAGCTGCCAAATAACTTACTAGAGCAAAGGGGTAATATTTTTTTTTTTAATAAATAACTGTAGAACACATGCGTGTAAAGTTTTATCTTGATACAACGTCCATAAAAATGCTCCAGGCAAGGAGCATCCCTACCCAGCTGTCACCCCACACACAAGGCAGCTGGACTGTTACGCGTTTTTGGATTTCACAGTTTTCCCCCCAAAGCCTTGAGATTCCTCATGCAGCCTGCTACTGCAAGTTCCCAAAACACCATGCTCATGCTAGCACAGTCAGAAACAAACGCCGAAATACAGTGTGGTGAAAACAGTTTTCATCTTCAAATAATTAACTGTCTCTAGCATTAGATTTTATATCTATTTCTTTTCAAGATAGCCCTTATTTACTGGAAAATAGCAAAGCCCTACAGCACAGTTGTCAAGTCGAATATTTCATTTAGTCATGTTAATACTTCCATAAAAATATATAGTCAGGAAAGGCTTTTTTCTTTTAAAATAAATTATGTTTAAAAAGTCTAGTTAGAAAAAAGTAGGTGTTACATCATTGCAGATGGCAACAGCCAGAACATTTTTTTTTTAAAAAGAGGCTTTGCAGTGCTGGAGGGGAGCACAGGTAACCTACTGCAGCCCCCCCAGGCCGCAGCAGGACCCCAGGGCTGCCAGGGAAACTGCACCAGCACAGACTGTCGGACCCAGCCTGTCCCTGCACCCTACAGCCAGCAGGGGCTCGGGGTCAAGCCCGACGCCCTGAGCTTCCCCCCAGCGTGCAAAAACAAGAGTCAAGACCCTCTGCCCAGCAAATCCTCCCTTACCTGGATGCCAGCGTGGTGGCAGCGACACACGCGCCTGCAGCTCCCCTGAACATAGGTTCTAGCCGTGCTCTCATGGGCAAAAGACCATTTCACCACTTTACCAACTGCAAAAAATCTGACAGAGGTTGAAATAGGTTTATCTTTACTTCAATCAATGCCATCTTGGCTAAATGTCCTCGCCTGAAGGGAAACCAGAGCCCACTGCATTTCATTAGTGAAGGCTCTGCAGTTTACTGTCATCTTTCACTTCCTTATGAGGAAGAGGAACTGTTGCCCAACCCAGTTTCACTTGCTTTCAAAACAAGCCGAGGGTCCTTGCCCCATGCTAGAGTTTGTACTGCCCTTCGTTAAACACACACACACATGAAAAAGCAGCATCCTCCATCCCTGGCTAATTCCTAAGCAGCTGAAATCAGGAGACCGTGATCACCGTGATAAGCCTGCTCTTCCTGCCTGAACTCCTGGATGCCAGGAAGCAAGACTTGCCACTGCTAAACACTGATGAAAACCAATAAGGATTTGGGTTTTTATTGTCAAGTGCCCAAAGAAATTTAGTGTTTTAAAGATAATTTTTAACCCAAGATCTGCAAAACAAACATGACACAGCTCTTCCGTTTGGTTCACCACCAGAGTCCAAGTTTTACAATAATTAAGTGTAATCAAAGTAACATTTAAAATAGAAATAATTTCATGTGACTCCACAAAGGAGAAATGTTATCTGTAAAATTTCTACTTTATCCTACAAAGGATCACCGGGAAAGTTGGCGACGCCGTTTTATTTACTCTTTTGAAGAAAATGTTTTGTAAAGCGATCTAGTTCATCCTCAAGGTGAATGGCTTTATTTCTGTAAAACAAAACAAAAGCAATGGATTTACTTCAATGCAGTAACGCCACAAAGAAGGCAGAATCACCATCAGTGTTTAATCTCTACTCCCCTAGTCCTGAAACCCACAGCGCTCGGGAAACCTAAACACGGGCTGTGGTCAGAGCCTGGGCCCTTGCGAGTGCGGGACCCGAGTGGGCTGTGGAAGGCTGCCCACCCTCAGCCCCACGCCTCCTGCTTTCCCGGGCCTGCCCCAGTTCCCGCCTTTCCTCCTCCCAGTGCCTGACCCGGGGCGGGGGCATTCCCCGGGGCTCCTCCCTGCCCCTGCGTGGGCACTGCGGGGCTCCACCTCCCTCCCACGGCGGTGGGGACCGCAGCCCCCGGCAGGGCAGCCTGCCCGCTGCCGCACACAACGTGGCGCCGGGGCCGAGGCTGCTCCCGCGGCCCCAAAGCCCCGACGGCGGGAAGTTTCCCTTCTGTGAACACCTCCCCGCGGGACTGAGAGAAAAACACTCCCGTGGAATGACTCAAGGGCGTACAGCTGCGCTCGCCTCCTGCGGGGAGGGTTCTTTGGGAAGGTGCCACCCTCATTTACCTGCACAAGATCATCATTGTTGAGGAAGCCACCTCTCCCACAGAATAGAGGGAGACAAAGGTAAAGGCAGTCTAAAAAGAGTATTTTTGGAGCTTTGCTCATTTACCTGGGTTGAAGCATACATTTATTTAACTTACCCAGAGCTGTTTGGTTGCAAGTAAAGATTGGTGCGTACTGTTCTGCGCCTGTGCCTACTTTGTTTCAACTTGAAAGGAACAGCAAGCACCAAGCTCAATGAATTTGTTCATGGCCAGTCCCGCCCAGCCTTACCTTAGCTGCTTGGAGCTGCTCTGTATGCTCTCCAACTGATCTATCTCTTTGGAAAGTCTAGCGATTTCTTTTTCCAGGTTTTTCTGGGTAATATCCACCTGCTGACAGAGCCGAGCAAAGGTAGTGGCCATTTCCCTAAATGGAAAACAAGTTTGTAATCATGAGCTACAGAAGTCTGTACTACAGAAAAAAAAAAAAAAAAAAAAAAAAAAAGAAAAAGGAAAAAGGGAAAAAAGTAAGTCCCATGCCATGGCCTTGCAGTGTGCAGCAGAACGCAGCAATCAAACTCTCCAGCTGCTAAGGGATTACAGAATAGCATAAAGCAGGAAAACTATGACTTCTTTAAATTAAGAAACCTTACATGTACCAAATGCACCTCAGTCTATGCCAACAGCACGTCTGGCGATTTTTCACTGAGCATCACCAGGTACAGGCCTGAGCTGGGGACTCTGGCAGCAGCACGTGCTGCAGAAGTGCTGCCGCGCAGCGCCCTGTGCCAGGCCAAGCGCCCTGCTCCTGGGGTCACCCCAGGTCCTACGTGATGCCCCAGCCAGGTGCTCCCACCCAGAGATCCAAGACTCCTCCTCACACAAAGGCAAAAAAAAAAAAAAAAAAAAAAAACAGTTACCACCCCGGGCCAGCAACCAGGCTCTCCCATGCGAGAGAAGACAGCTCCACTCCCCTCCACTTCCCCTTACTGGTTTGAGTCCAGCTCTTCCCCGTCCTCACACACACACACAGCTGCTGGACAAAGGGGTGAGTTTCTTTCCTCTGCTGAAGCTGAACTTTGTATTAGTAAAGTATCCCTGGGCTACACAGGAGAGGTGTTCTGCACCCTGGTGGTTAGAGGTCTCATTTAGCAGACCTAATTTTCTGAAATAATGTAATCAAAGCCAACTGTTTCAGCACGAGAGGCTGAGGGAGACAATCACCCAGACATTACATTGCAGAGGCAGGTGAAAAAGCATTTGGGAAAGAGACACCAAAAAAATGGAACAGTTCATAAAGGCCCTTAAATTCCTCTTCCACAGTGCAGAAGAGCCAGGACCAGCTGCTTCAGATTCACTCATACCAGCCAGGGAGGCAGAACCAACACGCACCGCTGCAGCGACTCAGGCTGATTTTGTGCTAATTACTGATTCTGTGCTAGTTACAAACAGCCCAGTTCAGCCTCCACTGGCACTGAGCCAGCTCCCCCCCTTCACAGTAAGGTGTTGGACAGTCGACACCGTAACACTAACTCTGACCCATACACACACACAGAGGTCTGTATTGCTCTTTCCAGGTGGTAAGTTCAAACTTAAAACTCCCTCATAATAAATGCCAAGGGGCACTAAAGCCGCCTTCCCCCACCACACGCACCCAGTCCCCGCAGTGCTGCACAGGCAGGATTTTGGATTTGCTATTTTATCCATGTTTGATACTTACTGTTGCACCTGATGGCTGCAATTAGCACTTGTAAGACTGACGATCATCTGCAGCTTTTCAGTAGCATAGTTTACAAACTGCTGTTTAAAGGCTCTCTCTTTTGCTTTAGTGGTCCAAGTCAGTCTCTCATAAAGATATAACAACCCATACATACTTAAGGAAAGAGAGATAAGTTTCCAGCCAACTGTTCTCCAAATCTGAAAAAGATGATTCTTCATTAGCTTAAGTTTCCCTACAAAATAAAATTTGTATTTTTCTAATCGATCAAATGGCCATTTTTCTAATCATCTTCACGGCCCTTTCACCAGAGTAGTTTAACAAAATATATTATTTCCATATTATTATTGCAGAGCAGTACAGCTACATTCAAATGAGCTGGTACCCCAGCAGCGTGGAGAATATGCAGGTCACAGACACCTCACTGCTTTTTCATGAAGGAGGAAGGAGAAAGCAAAGCTCCCACTAAATCCAAACTGAATGAGGCACCATCAAATCACCCTTTAATTCAGAAACTGAACGCAGACATATGGCATAGAGAATATATCCAACTATCCTCAGAGTAATTAGACTAATTTTCTCACTACAAACTGACTGTGGGTATCCAGTGTGTCACACACGCTCACCCTGCCCAGTGTTACTACACCCGTTACCTGCTTCCTGTTGCACCCCAGACAGGAAAGACCAGCTTAACCTTTGCTATCACTTCTAGTACACTGAATGTTGCCAATACTACTTGCCACTCCGCCAACAACGATGATGCTCATAGAGGTCCGTGATGTCAGTGAAGCCAAACTCATTACCAAAGGAACCATAAAATCATCGTGCGATACGCTCTCTGGAGTTGTGGCAGGGAGGCTGGCAGCAGACGGGGTGGTAGCTAAAGGACGAGGGATCTAGAAGAGTGGAATATGGCAGCCTAAGCAAAAAAGCATTAAGGAACTACACAGCAGACTAGTTTTATTTTCATATATTCAGGGTTTGATTTCCTTAAAGGAAACTCTTCAGGACAGAAATCTGAACAATGCTCGTGATAAGCAGCGGAGGTTTTGGCCGTTCCTTGCCCAACGGGGGACTGGGTTACAATAAGGGTTCTACGTAGAACTGGCTCCGCCATAAGGACCCAAAAGTTACAGATTAAAAGGTTACCCAAAGGGTTCAAATCCAAAGGAAAACAAAAACAGCTGCAGAAAGTTTAGGAAAGGTTTCTGTTCCATTCTAACCCTGAACATAATCCAATAAAAACAACCCTCGCCAAAAATATTTCACAAAGGGACTAAGGGAAAGTAGCAGCAAGGATGTAAATAGCAGAGGCAAATACAATAAAAATCAATACATTCTCATCAAGGTAAAACAAGGCACTTAAAATGCCAGCCTGATCTCTGAAGCACTTACTTGTACATTTGGATCTGCTAGTCCCAATAGTACTCTCTGAGCTTGTTTAGGACCCAAGAAACGGTTTACAAGTGAAGTCCATCCCAAGGAAAAGTGGAACATGATATCCTCTTGAAAATCCGCACACAGACTGTGACAGTTTAGATCATAGCTAAGGTCAAACCTCCTGCACGGAATTAGCAAGTGGAGCTGATTCTGAGCACCAGAAGGCAACAACGGCTTCAGATTTTCTGGAAATAAAACAGCATAGTAAAGATGAGTTACCATTAAAAGCTTTACAGCATATTCACAGTAGCATCCTTGTGCTGCTGAGCAGCTTTGCGAACTACAGGAATCTAAACCAACACATTTCTTTCTTTATCTATCTATTTATTTATTTACAAAACTGGTCTGCATTTTAGTAGTATTAGTCATAGCAAGTCAGGCAATTTATTGCTCTGATAGAAGAAACAGTCACGCAAAATCAACTGCTACAAAAAGCACCACTGGAAAAAACGGTCAAATCAACTGAAAGACCTCTATCAATGGTCAAAAGATAAGGATGGACTAAGTTAAAGTTGGTTTAACCAGTAGTTCTGTGGTGCCATACAGAAAAGGCAACGTTATTATATAAGATGACAGAAGGCTTCACATAATTCTATGATCTTGCTCCGATTCTTTTATTACCAGAAACAGATCAGAAGAGAGAGATGGATATGCAATAAAGTTACTGTTTATTTAAAAAAAAAAAAAAAAAAAAAAGAAAAGATTAGAAAGGTAAATACTTTGTGAAACTATCCTGTTTTGCACTCAGAATCTGGAGGGACCTAGGGAGAAGATCATACTGCAGAAACATAATTTAACAATTAGCGTATTTCATGTATCTGTTGCGGAAGCCAAGAGTTTAAATGGGTTTCTCAAAGGATTAGACAAGCTCCCAGAGGACAGGTTCATTATTACTTGCTTAAGCCATTAATCCAGATGCGGTATCTTGGCTCAGAAGTCCCTAAATTGGGGATGGATCACTATATTTACCCAGGTTCGTTATTCTTCTCCCCAAGCATCTGTTACTGGTTAATATCAGAGACAGGCTACTAAGCTGAACAGACATTCAGTTTTGATCTAGGATGGCTTCTTTATCATTTTATAATGTTAAGGGTTAAAACACGATCAGAAAGAAAATTCTTTTAAAAGCAAGTCTCCTTAAATTGTCTTCCTCTAAACAAAAAGTCGTAACATTCCTCCTTCCTCATCTTACCAATCATCTCCTGCTGCGACTGATGCATTGACTGATTGACTTCACTGGTGCAACGATCAGCCAGGTTCTTTCCCAAACCATCTTCTATATGTTTGTTCAGTTCCTGAAGTTTTATAAAGAATACATGCTCATCAATTCATATTTAGCTAATCAATTACATTATACAGAGCAGAGATATGTTAAACACTAAGCATTGTTATTTACAGTGGGAAGAAAAGAATGTTACCACGGAAATACCATGCTTTTAAATTGCATACTGTAACTGCAAACCTAATGGAAGTGACAGGGGGAAGATTTCTCTAGGACTGCAATCATTAAAAGGCATATAGAAAAGTCTGGTTTTTCAAAAAACATGACACCGAAGAGCATACCGCTACCACACTGCCCTGCAAAGCCTTTGCTGTCCTCATTTGATGGGAGCCAATTTCACTGCTCTGCACAAAGATAAGCTGATCTCAAACGCTGGACATTCTGCAGAGCCAGGACAGCAGAGACTCTCCTGACAAGGCTGGAACGCCTGGGAGTTACAGCAGCCATTCATTAGCAGCAAAGTCAAAGCATAAGAGGCAAACACAGGTGTATGTTCCTTTAAAATATTACGTTTCGAGGATAAATTTATAGACTAAAAACTGCCTTCTTAAAAAAAAAAAAACCAAACCTGAACAACAAACAAAAACATAAAGTGGGGGGTATTTGCAAGGTCATTTTATTTTTGGATCTCTTTCATTTTAGGAGTAGTGAAAATTGTTTAAGTAAGGTCTTTATCAGAAGTGAAAACTACAAGTCAGGATTGTCAGTGAATTGGTTTCAGTAACAACTCTAGTAACAAGACAGTTGAAACAAAAATTAATTTCCTTCCAAAAACAAAGCAGAAAATATTTTCAACCTTTTCCAGTTTTAGGTAAACAGACATATGCATGTCAGAAAGCAAAAATCCTGCAATGCTTAAACAAAGTATCACACAAAATGCTATGCAAATGATAAAAATGTAGAAGTAGAAATCAAAGGAAAGACAAACATCCTGGCTTCAAACCATGCAAGAAAACTTACTGTCTTATACAGCTTCAATACTTGAGGAGAAGGGTGAAAATCTGAATAAAATTCATCAACTAAAACTGAAAGTCGGCAAATCTCGTCAGTCATGGCAGAGGAGACCTGGAAGAATGTAGTAAATCCATAAAATGTTTCTGCTACCTTATTTACACCCAGAGTGAAAACAGGCTACTGCAGTAACTGATACCAGAAATGATTCAATTACCTGATAGTATGGAAGGACTGCCATGTTGAGTGTTTTTTCTTGTTTTGGTTTTGGGTTTTTTTTTTTTTGTTTTTTATTATATTGGAAAAGGAACATACTAGACATTTCAAACATACTCCATAAGATGGGTGTGCACCTAAAGAAGCTGCCTTACTGAAGGGACAACACTTGAATTTGGGAGATTTTTCATACCACCATAACTTACTTTATTTTCCACTTCCTCAGTAACATGTTTGATTTTTTCCTTAGTATCTTCTGTCAAAATGTTCAGCTGATTTCGAACAAAGTCCAATCTATCCTTCTGATCTTCTCGCTCTTCCATTGAATGGACTCTGACATAGCAGAAAGGAAATCACCATCACCAGCAGGTATTCTCCCAGTAATGAAACAAGCCCCATAACCAGGTATGGATCACCTAGCTGATGGTTTACTGAGCAGCCAGAAAGAATCCAAAGTGACACTGGCTGATCAAATCAGAGGCACTGCTTGAGAACGACTGCAATACAGATATTAAATTTACAGGCACATTTAAAGGCTGCACTGGTTGAACATAACTCCTATTACTGGGTTTTGGTGTATTTACAAAAACAGCATGTGGAGTTGGAATAGTTACCATTGTACGTAATTATAACTGAAAAAAAAAGGTGCAAGGAATCAGGGGCATTTAATAATTAGTCTATCCTGATTAAAAAAAAAAAAAAAAAAAAAAGAAAAAAAAAAAGGATAAATCAAATCAATCTGTCCTACTGCTGCTCACCAGCACCACTCAACTATTCCATAACAGTGACATGGGTCTGATGACCCTTGAAAGCAAAGGGGAGGTGCCAGAAACTAACCTTGTCACAAACAACTCTCTTCAGAAGTCCTTGATCTATCATTTAAGTAAAAATTGGTTAAATTCTAAAACAGTTCTACCTTGAAGGGCCAGCAGAAACATCAAACAGCAATTCAGATTAAGAAGGGTCACTACACAGGTTTTGGCAGGTCAAGTGACAGAAAGAAGTAGAATATCATAAATTTTTCAAACGTTTCACAGCATGTTTTCATAGGATCTGACAATGTGAGACAAGTTAGTATGTAAACACGCAGTTTGTAAAAGCTGATATATTCAGGAAGATGAGTGTGTTTGACAGGTACAGTGGAGTCTGTTGAAACATAAAGACGCACTATTAACAGACACAGAAAGGAGATGGATAGAAAGGATTAAACATGACAGCAAGTTCACCATGTACAAGAGACACAAGAGCTAACAACAGAAGTGAGGAAAAAAAACATACCTATGCAAGCCTCAGAGAATTTAGGAAACTATCAGACAGCATAGATAAGCTGCTATCATTAGCACTGAAAGGATCACATGAGTAAAGAGAGACTAAAGATATTTAAGGATCCAGCCTGGAAAGGGCCAGAGGCCAAGCCTCTGTTATCCTGGGCTCTTCTCATCTCTTACAGTATTCTAAGCACTTTCAAATTAGTGTCTACATCCTCCCATTTATTTTCTCAGTGTTACTGTTAACAAAACCCTTAGGTAAAGCAGGCCCAAACCACCTCTGAAATGCTGGATATAGCTAGAAAAACTTAAAATGTCAAAGATTTTTGAAAACCCACAAACTGCCTTTTTAACTGTAGGTCAGTAACGAAGAGTAACAAAGTAAACCAAGATCCCTAGACAAAAGTCACAGACAAAGGACAAGACTGAGCGGTGCAAGTGAACTGTAGGAAGACTGACACACCAGAGAAATTCTCTACTTCTTACCATGTGAGAAAAGTGAATTTTAAAGTCTGTAATGGCCCAAGAAAATCACCAGCATAGAAATGGCTCCTCAGAGGATCGGGATAAACCAAAGCCAAACAGCCCTCCAACCAACCTACCTTTTCTCTGCTGCTGCTACGTTTATGGCGTCCATAATGTTTTTCACAGTATCTATTATCTGTTTAGCTCTGATAGTGTGCTGTTCAAACTTGGTTTTCACGGCTGACTGCGAGATACACTCCTGCGAGGGGCCCAAGCCACAACACATTACTGCAATTCCATGCCAACACATTCAGGAATTTCACTGTCAGAAAGCACATGCTGCTAACTTTTACCATGAACTTAAATCAATGGGAAATAAAAAGGGAGAAAGTATATAGAAAATAAAAGGTAACAGAACTGAAATCTCAAATGAGTCTATAGCAGCAAATCTGCACCTCCTTGTTCATTCACAGTAATGTGCATAGGTTTTTATTCTTTTCAAATAAATTAATAGTGTAAAGAAAAAAGAAAACTCAAATGAATACGTAAGATAAACCTAGCTCTTCAGAAATTTTTTCCAAACTATATAGTCAGAATTATAAACGTCTAACACAAACGCTGGCAATATTGCCTGGCTTGAGTTGTCTCTGCTGCAACACATATTCTTCGTTTCAAGAAGCAGTTCTGTCAATAAAATTTGTCGTGCTCATGTCAATAGTTACCATCCAGGAACAGAATACACAATTAGGAATAAGAAACAAGGATTATCTCACAGGATAAAAGAAGTTGTTACGTAGTTCTTAAAATATTAGTTTATTTGCGGATTATTGAAGTGTTAAATGAATGGAGAATGCTCTAAAGATAATTCTTCTAATCAATCTTTAATCTTGTACAGCGACTCAGAAACTACAAGACACTGAAGAGATATACAAATATCCAATTTGGGCAAAAGCAAATCAGTTGTGATAAGCCACAAATTCAGACTTTTTCAAGCAACTGCACATCCTGAGTTATGTAGCCAATTAAATGCTGTCAGAATTCAACCTGCACTAAGTCACCACAAAGCAGCAACTTCTGTGTTTGAGGGAAGAAAGCAAGCAGCTTGTTTCCTTATACCAGATCGATGTTATTTTCTAAATTATTCTCAATCTACGGATGTACCTTTCATAGCACAAACAGGTTTAGGTTGCTTTTAACTTTCCTATGACCTTAGCATATGCTGCAATAACAAATTCCAGCTAAAAATAATAGATCAAAACAAAATAAATAAAATGGGTAAAATATATTCCCTGTTCCTCGATGAAGCAGATCTAGAAATCAGCAATGAAAGGCCAGAGTTTCATAAATATCAGCACATTGTAAGAGCTAGACTAGACACAGGGGAAAGAGTCTTCCCAACATTAGTACGCTGTAGATATAAGGATGACAGTCACTCACAACACAATCAGAAAATCCAAGTTAGAGCACTAGGAAAAACACAAAGGTTAGTTAAACGACTGGGAAATATAAGAGTGGGACAGCAGCAGTTTTGCTGTTAAACAAGTATTTATCAAAACAAAGAGAAAAGGTACTTATCAACAGCATAACCAAAACCAGTTACCTTCCAGCTCACTTCCAGTAGAGCAAAATAGTCTTTAAGTGCACACTTATTACATTCCTGAGCAGGGTTAGGGAAGGACTCTGCAGTAGCTTATTAATTCAGGCTCAGTTATTCACTCCAATTTACAGCCAGAATTACTATTCTACCCTGCTGCCTTCTCCACTCCACTCCTCCCCACACCACTTCTGTTACCAATTTTGCAAGGAAATTTGGGAAACACTACAACCTGAGGCATAGTGGGGTTCAGTTTTATGTAGAAAACCCACTAAGGACTACTGCACACAACACACCGTGCATGCACTTCTCTGCTGTTTCGATAAGGCATTTCTATGTATATCATTGCAAAATTTCACAAGATAAACAGACTGCTTTATTCCACGATATAAAAATTCAGAAATGATCCACTAATTCAACCCTTTCCTTTAAGACTGCGTATCTTTTTTCCTTTAATACAGCTGACATACATAGTAACATCACCTTTTTAAAGCTACAACACGAATCTTGAAAAAAAAAATCTTTATTTCACCACTGCTTACACACATTTCTAGTAATGCCTGGACCAGTTTTTCTTTTAGGAACTTTAATCACCTTGTGCATTGTAGAAAAAACATGTTGTATCTATTTCTGGAATACCTTTTGTCCTCACACAAATGTCTATATAAATGTAGTTACAAATCTTTCAAAAATGGTCCAAATTTTTCCCATATCAACTAGCACTGATGGGTTGTTTCTATATATATATTTTTTTTAAGATTCTAGCTATACTGAGCTCTTATCAGTCCTGGGATGGACAGGCTTTCCCATCAGGGAAGTGATACTAACATCAGGAATGTGGAAGTACTGGAAAAATAACAGTTCCTCTACTCAGCTCACGTGGAAAAGAGGAAGCAGCTGTCCAATTTTAGTGAAGACAAAAGCAGGGCAAGAGAATTCAAGAGGAACAAAACCAGCAGATACAGCCCATGGGAACATAGAACCTGTGGATGGGTTTATAAATGAGGTGATGAGATAGCTTAGAGACATGAACTGGAGAAAGAGCATGAGAGGTATCTGAAAAGACTGAGCAGGGCACCTGAGCAGGGACAAGGAGCTAAAGGCAAGACAGACAGACAGAGGCAGGGAAGGGGTCAGTGCTTGATGAGGGCAGAGGCATCTGTGCTCTCATCCCTTCTTTTTCACAGAATGGAATGTAATCCAAGAGTCCTGGGAGCTGCAGCTCCTCTGTCAGGAAACAGAGTAAATGCAAAGCACTTTAGCCAGCAGTACTTAGGCTGTACTCATGGCTATACAGCATCTGAATTTGGTCTAGCAGTGCATAAAGCATGGTGTCAAGCAGGATTTAATTCCCAGACTGAACACAGAAAATTCTACCTGATATACAATATTCTTCATTAATATATGAGGTGGTATAGCCTAGTGCTGGTAAACATAACTGATGACAATAACATGCTGATGTCAGCTACTTTATCAGCTCAAGTGACAATAATTTGAGTATTAGGTCTGAAGATTTCAGACCTGGTGAACCGTTTAAATATTAACTTTGCTTTAAAACCAAATGAAATGCCATAGTAACTTAGGAAATTGCTCAGAAAACCTGACTGTGAAAGCAGCTGCAACATCAGACACACAGAATTTAAATCCCTTTGGCAATCTTAATTTAGCACATGTTGTTGTGCTCTTTAAGTGATGCGATCACACTCCTATTCAAAGCCAGCCATTATTATTTCAGGACAAAACATGGCTGAGCAGGGAAAAATATTACAGAATCCACTTTCACTGCTGGAGTCAGAAGGTGTGCAGCAAATGTAACTGATAATGTGAAAGAAGAAAAAAGTTGTTTTAAGGCCATGCAGTGCTATCACAGAATTGGTTTTTGTCCTAGCCTCTGCCAAAGAAACTTGTCAAGTTGTGACCTTGTGATGGATGTTTCCCATTTCGGTGGCCAACTTGAGACTGTAACATCTCATTTACAGATGGGCTGAGCACTCATAGCATCACATAATTTATTAAGTCATACATCCACCTTAATCTTGAAATATCCTAAATGTTGACTGCTTAACTATAAGAGATTTTGGGTACAGCACATGGCAAAATGTGTTAAAGAACAGTAACTGATTGAGAAGCTTGACTTCCACTTTGTTTCCTACTGGTTGAAAGTTTCCTACTGCAATTCTAAGAAAAAAAAATTACAAACAAAAATGCATGTTTGTCTACAACTAGCAACACAAGCAAGAAATTTCATGCCTCATGGACTCAGGTCCTGCCGGTATTCTGAATCAATCATTTCAACAATTCAGTCATCTATCATAAGAGTGTGGATAGGATTAAATTTAAACTGTAGTCTGACATTTTCTTGCTTATGCAAGACTGAAGTAAGCTATTATTTGAACACCTTTTTGACATACACACATCATTATATAACTCAGTTTTGCTAAGGTCAAATGTGTGTGTTGTAATGAGAGAAGAAATACTTTTCAGAGGCAGTCTCATTTTTTTAAAAAATATACCGACCAAGGAATTACTGGTTCAGGCATGCAAGAGCCATTTTGAGCCTTTGCTGTACACAAACTACAGTCATACCTTTCAGGCTCATGTTGCGTGAAATATGCTGATACATACCACGCAAAACCATCGAGGCACACCCACGATACCTCCTTAAGATATCCAAGGATGGCTTTAATTAGTTATCAAATTCAGAAAGACCCATGGCTCCTATCCCAAAGAAATCACTAAACTGTCTAGCCAGTCCTACTTCTAAAGAAATTGTGAACTCTATGAATATAGCTATGCTGAGGTTGAAGGATGGATTCTGTACAGCAACAAGGATGCAAAAACAGTGTTGATGTTCAGAGTATCAGAGCCAAGAGGTAGATAATGGTGATAATTTCAAAACTCTGGCTTTAAAAATGCAAGTAAGTATTTAGATTTACATTGGTAAAACAGTTTCTCACTCTTTGTGTCTTGAATTACAACGATTAATTACAGAGCTACAACTTCAGAACAAAATAAGGCTTACTACAGCAAACATTTCACCAGCTCATGGTTGTGATACACCCTTTTCTAAGAGCATCACCTCTTTCTACGTAGAGTATATTGGTATTGAGATCTCAAAACACGAGCTAAAGAGTTTTGGTCCCTTCCCCCACTGAACAATACTTCTCTTCAACAACTACATGCTCTTCAAGGTGAGAAGAGATGAACACAACCCACAGATACAGCAAAGCTGTCAGAAGGTTTGAAAACTTTACACTCCTCCAGTTGCTAACATTGGTAATATTCAGTAAAATTAAACTAAGCATAAGCAAAAGCTACCTTTGCATTAAAAACAGGCAGTCTAAAAAGCCCATCCTAAATACCTCAAATATCTGTTCAAAATGTTGAAATTCCTGGAATCTTGTTTGAAATCCTTCAGCAAGTGCTCCACCTGTGAAACACAACAGACAATAAGGGAGAGAGCAATACCACACAGGACAGACTGTATCTCAAATATTTTTGTTTATCAAGTTTTATGGCATTTTTCTGTACTTGAGGAAAAGCAATAATTCCTACACACCACCCTCTGGCATTCCTTGGGCCTTCTGTCTCCTGGCACTCAGAACTTCTTTTGCTGAAACAAAAAAGATGCGATTCCTCGCTTCTACAGGATCAATAACTTTGAGCTCATCAACTAGAAAAGTCAGACAGCGCTCCATGTGCTGCCTACGCACCTAAGGAAAAGGTAAAAAGCTCATGAGAAGAAGGCAAAAATTGAGTCGTCATCAAATCACAACATCAGAGTCAGAAACAGATGCTGAACCACCCCTTAGTTAGCAGATGCCTTCTAATTCTACTGATGCAGCAGCTCCTTTTAACCATTTAAACAGCCCTGGAGGCAACAATACTTTCTTCTGTAATTGTCTGTATGTAAGTCAGATATCTCAGTCACTGGGGTAACCACCTCATTCCCCATATACAGAGAAATAAGTATCATCGCAAGCTAGCTGCCGTTGGAAAGATCTGAAGGGCACACCAAACTGTTACCATCTAACTCTGTACTTTGCCAGCTACTCAACACACGTACAGATGTATAACCTGTACCCTCAGGCTGCATTACAAATAAATACAAACATGTTTTAAAACAAGCTTAACTGTGGAAGAAGTAGTTTCTAAACAAGCTTCCCTTGCATTACCTGCCTGCATATATTGTAGCTTGAATTGCTGGTTGCTTTTTGCTCTGAAAAGAAATAAATTATTTCCATTGTACGACTGAGTAACTTACTCTTTTATTAATAAGACAAAGCTGGTGTTTTCATATTAATAACTGTATTACCTAGACAATTTACCATGCCTTTATGCATGTGGCAGCCTTTTCTTTATATACATGTATTGTAAAAAAATCAACTCAAGTAAGAGGCATCAAGTCACTCACGTCTTCCATATATTCTGGTTCTGATGCAGAGGCATCCCATCTATTATTCAAGATGAAGATGTTTGGCTTGGAAAGGCGTTCGTTCACTTTATGGAAAAAATGTTTTTCCTAAGAATTAAAGCACAAACAGAAAACTCCCCTGACATCCAAACCAGTCACACATTCTTCTGTAACAGATTCTGAAGTTAATCCAGCTTTTTAAAAGTTTATTAAAAAGAATTCATTAACATTAAAAACCACAGACATCTAACAGAAAAAAAAAGTTTATGATAGTTCAAAAGTCATCAAATGTCTTAAAACTAATGCCTATACTAAAAGCCTAAGATACTGCAAGCTTCTCTAAAAATAGGTACAAATACAAATTAAGAAAACTTCCAAAACAGTTTAGAAGACACTGGAAAATAAAGTCATTTTTCTATAAATCTATCACATCATTCACTGTCTTTTTTTTTTCCCTCCTCCTTTCACTCTTACTAGCACAAAACTTCCATCTCCTTTGATACTTCTAGTCCTCTATTAAATTTGTTTGCAATTGTGTGACTCAAAATACTGTCAGGGAAGAGAGGAAGGGAAAAAGAACACACAAGGCATGACTGTATCTGCTCATTCAGTTTTTTTAAATAAGATGCCTGGCTAAGACTGTGAAGTCTTCCTTATTTCAACTACCAAGATGCTCCTGTTCACTCTGCCAAATCTGGTTTCTGTATCCAGAAAAACATCCTCTAACTGTATTCTTCTACTAGGCAATGCCAGCTTGAACTACCGACAAGTTACATTTCCTATATGATGATGTATGTCTTGAGCCACAGGAAAAAAGTCATGGCTGAATGTTTTGATTTTAAAAATAAGACATGCCTGTACCTGAAAAAGTATTTAAGTCCCTTGCCCATACCTACCACCCATCACTGCTGTTTTCATAGCCATAATGGGTAAGTCGTGATGGAGTGAATCCCCACTCAGCACAGCTGAAACAGAAGAGATCTTTGTGCTGCCGTAAATTCTTGAATCTGCAACAGGACACCACTAAATATTCTGGATACAACTACTGGAGATACGTTAGTCTCCATCAGCCGGGGAGTAAGCATGTGCAAACAAGATTACTGTTGCAGAAATAAAAACTTTGTCTGAAGAGAATTTATGAGGGAGTATTAGAAAAATCTCATTTATGCAAAAAAGTCTGTGGCTGTATAGCAGCTGCCAAGTATTCTCAAGTCTGTTATGCTAAGAGGTAAAAATAACACCTAAGGAAGATGAGAACATAGTTATCATATGCTTTACCTGAAGGATAAAACTTGTGTAGATGAAGAAATTACCATTTGCCACAATGCAAAGCAAAATACAAATGCTTTAGAGCAGTTACATAATTGTTGAAGGCAACTTCATTTGTGTCTACCAGGCTGAAAAAATTAAAATGGAGAAGGAGTAAGAGAGCCGTTTGCTGCCTCAATCACAAAAAAGATCTACTTCCTTTCCCTCCAATGTGCACCCTAGAATCTGGAAATTGCCAGTGTCCGTTAATTAAAAGGTGCTCGATATTAAGTGAGGATTTATAGGCATGGCAACCAAAAAACCTGAGCAAGACTTTAATGCTTGAAGCAAACTGCAAGACTAATCTATTTCTATTTAGCAGCTTTCGGCCATGCCCAACAAGGAACAAAGATTGGCCAAAAATCACATCAGAAGAGTAACATTTCTGTGACGGGGTGTTTAAGATCAGGCAAACACAAAATTAACAGAATCTTCCACTAGACATACAGCCTATTTGACTTTCCTACATTCTTATTATCTCAGTCATCTTGTTTTTAATGGTTTATTTTCCTGAGCAAATAAGAGAACCAAATAAAACTTGGCATTTTCACTGTTACTTCACTACACCAAACTGAAATCTGGCACACGGGTCCCTATTGTTTCCGTGTTTCTATATCGTAGTAAGACATTCGCTGAAACCCAATCTTTATTTCTTCTTCCTTTTTTTAACTAAAAAACCCTAAATCAACTGAAGTATACACATAAACAACTTCTTGACTCCCTCCACACTAAAAGCCAAAAAGTGTCCCTCGTGAGATAATGGACAAGGTAAAACCACAGTTGTGCCAAATCCTCTCTTGGATGTTGTCAGAATTTTCTTTTCCCTTTTAAATCACATTCCTCTTGTATTTAAATCCCTGTGGATTCAGCTCGGAAGATAGAATTTAATGTTTTTAAACTCATTTTATGTTCTCAGATTTCTACCAAACTATTCTAATTTGCCACAATGCAAGGAATACTGTCTTTGTACATTCTTTATTGTATTAAAAATTGCCTCAATAATTACAAAGTTCAGACACTGAGTGTCAGAACCAGGCTCAGAACTATCAGAGCATGCTATTGGTCTCCAGTAGGCTTAAAAGCCTTCGGAAGATTTCTCAGTAGCATTATACTGCATACTGGCACTCGCAGTTCCAGTAACTCAGATACCTTATATTGACACTGTCTGCATTCACACCACTTAGATTAGTCAAAACTGGAGATCACCATAAAATTAAAGCAAATCTCTGGTCTCGTGTTTTGTATATCACAACAGCTCCTTTGGCCACCTTGCATGCTCTCCTACAAGTCATGCATTATTTAGGCTGCAAGGTATACAGAAGTCTTCTCTCTTGAAACAAGGCTGTATAGGATAAAGGTGTTAAAAGATCTTCAGCTCTCTATGTTGCTCAGAACCATGCAACACGAATGCTTATTGCTAGCATCTTTTTCAGAATAAAATACAGTCCAATGAGGGGAACCTGTAGCACTTGTCCTCATATAAAGGTGCATCAAGGGAATACACCCTCTTCTGAGACATGAACACATGAGGAGCAAGACAGAAATTCAACTTCCTTCACCTACTTTGTGTATTTTACTGAACTTCTGGATATGAAATACTCAGAAATTTACTTCTTTGGTAATACAAGTGTCTTCACCTGACAAATATCAACAAATCGCAAAGCAAGACAAGCACTACATCACCCATTTATCAAAAAAGAAACGGGGATAGAAAGGACAAATGTCATGCTCAAGTCAGAGTAAGCAAAGCTAGTAAGAAACTTGGTCTCTTTCCCTAGTGAGGGATATACACTGTCTCTTGCTTCCCAGCCCCAAATCCTATCCACAAGATCAAAATCCAGTAATTCATGGGAGCTTCAGTAAAGGCCTAAGAGAAGCCATTTCAGTCATGCAACTGCTGTATATTTAAATGAAGAAGTAATGCAAGATCATTGCACATCATACCGTGTTCATGAGAGTTGATTCAGAATTGGCAACCAAGACAAACACGTCAGCATCTAAGCAGAATTTGTCAATCCAGCTGTCCAGTTCTGTAGTGACATCTGTGCCAGGGCTGTTAAGAATAAAAACCACAAACTCTTTTACTCAGCTAAGGAGTATTTGATTTTTATAAACTGATAAAAATAGTGGGATTGCTTAAGGGCCTTGTAAGAAGATACAAAGCTTTACATCTCTAGGCTAATGTCTACCTCAAGCTTAAGGCAAACAAAGCAAAAGTTAATTACCATTTAGCAATCACTCACTCACTGGACCGTCTACTCATTCCAAAATGCCATTTCTAATGAATAAGCACGCAGACCATAATTGCCAAGAAAGTGACAAGCAGTCCATCAGAAATCCAGGACGTCTCACAGAATCATCTCCCTCACCATATTCCAAGTTTTAGATTTTAATCCAAAAGGACAGTTATTAAAATATTTTTAACCTTAATAAGGGTCTACTATTAAAGTAATATACTAGACAAGCTGTGCTGAGATTCAATAAGAAACTAAAATGAAGTTAAAACCATAGTGTTGTCAGTTTTTTAAAAATAAGTAGAATATGAGTATTAGGTCATGTTTGCAGCACCTCTATTTAGCAGCAAAAAAGATAGTTTTTCTTCTTCCAAGTAACCGTTCTCTCAGAATCCAGGATGTTTTCCTTTCCCTTTACATTTCACTTTAGCAACCGAGACTGTGCAGATCAAATCATATCTATGCAAGGATCCCTTCTGCGCTTCCAGCATATTTGTGCTATGCACATGTCCCCAAGGAGACAGCACAACTGCAAAAGCTTAGAAGTCCAGCAGTGCATCAAACCACCCAGTTCTCTGTGCCAGCCAGGCTGACTAACACAGGACCTGAATTTGTACCCCAAAATGACAAACTCCTATGGATTTCTAAAGTGTAAGATTAGGGATGCAACAAAAAGCACTACAATTTATCAGAATATACTCTGGGTGCTATGTGGCTGGATATGAAGAAATCATACTTACAAATTCACTCAAGTATGAGTGAATTACTCTAAAATTCAATCTATATTGATTCACACATTAGGTATAGATCACCTAACAGTTTGAAAAAATATTACCTCAGTGGCCAGGAATATGGGCATTTGACATAGACAAAACAACAGCTTTCACAATTCCTTATATACACAAACTGTAAGAAATACTAGCCCAACACATAGGCACACACAGGCAACAGTCACAATTATGTTTGGAAGTCACCCATTACTTTGAAATGTAGGCACGGCAACTCTTATCAGAAGCTTTTAAAAAAATGAAGTCCAGATAGCTTACACTTCACGTGATCAGTCTGAAGCATTTAAAGACAGAAGATGGGCAAAAGGTTGTTGCTGCAACAACCCTACTCACACTTCCATACTGTTTCTTTTAAAGGTGGTAGTATCACCAGCCAAAAGCTAGTCCCTTATTCAGCTCAATCACAAGAGACTTCTCTGTTCCAACTGTTACAAGGACAAAATCAGTGGGGTGATGACAGGTAGCAATATATACAAAAGAACAAACTCTATACTCTCAAAAGAAAAAAAACACACACACAACCTCTTCAATAATTTTGCAACCTAACAAGCAAAACACAATCAATCAGCCAGTCTCTCTTCTAAGCATTATAAAGGGTAATTTATTTAAGAAAACATTTACTAAAACAGAAAGCATACCTGTCCACTAAAACCAAATCATCTCTCAGCAGGGCACACTTTGACTTAGGCCAAAAGACATGGACGAGACAGCCGGCTTTCAAGTCTTTATCCATGTGAAGTGCATGAGCAAGCTGATTGACTGTCTATAAAGAGCATAAGGAAAAGACAAACGTGAATATGCACCACAAACAAGTCTGTGAAACAGTCTAATTCGGTTCTCAAGCAAACTTTGACAGGATCTATCTTGAACAGAGTTCATACTTCCTTCTGGAAAGTATCTGTGATTTTTATTTTTTTTTTTTTTAGGCTCTTCGACTCATCAGCATCTAGAAAACAAGTTGCACCTTGAAACTCTGACAGAAGCTTCTTTGAAGCCACAAAGTGGTATTCTCTACATAGCTAGAGTGTGTGATACTGAGCACCATCATGAATTTGTCTCAGGTTTAACGTATCAATGTGAGCAGTTAAATAAACTAAGCACCATAAGGCCAAATGAGAGGCACATTCCAAATCATTAACAAGTAACAGAACTTACCCTCAGTCCTATAAATCATTCAACATATGCTATGTTACCATGAGACATGCATTGTTTTTCTGAAATATCCAAGAAAACTTACAAAGTATACCATTTTAGTTTGTTAGTTATTTCCTCCTAAGAAAGAACTTAAAAACGCATAATGAGTTAGCTTCACATTTTACTTGAAATCACTGGTGAAAGACAGATCTTTTGAGAAACAGTTACTGTAAAAAGTAGCATTAATCATTCAAAAAATATACCTTGACACTCTTCTTTTCATCTGATCCTTCTGTCATAAGATAAGCCTTATCTCCATCTGTCCCTTCCACACTGAGAAAGCAGTTAGTTGTGTGGCCAATCCCACTCGGAAGTACCTTATCCCACAGCATTGCATTAATGACCGAACTCTTCCCACTGCTCGTTCTAGAGGGATAGAAAATAAAAGTACTTTTGAGTACAGCAGAGCAGCATTAAACGTACCTTTGTCTTGAACTGAATGCACACCCATTTCATTGCATCAGACCCACATACTACAAGCTGTTTCAGATGATAGAGCTTCAAGTCACTACATCACAGCTTGTCAAAAAATAACAGGGAGTTCAGGGCAAGTTCATCTAAAAAGCAATTCCAAAAATCTTTCTTGGTATCAACACTGCCTATCCAACCAAGAGTTTTCATTTGCATAACACATACTGGCTCAACAAGCCAAACTTGTACTGGTAAGTATGCTTTATCTAGTATATTTCAATCTGTGTAAGAAATTTGTAGAAGATACTGGCTCAACTTGGCTACACCAGAGAAAAGTGTCTAGCATAAAAAGATGCCTTAGATCAACTTGAAGTAATTGGTAATGCTCAGCACGCTGTCCCACACAAGGCGCAACCTGCCCTCCCCCTCTGTGCCAGCCTTGGCATGAGTGCAGGAAAGAACTGATTGAAAATACATGTAACATTTTGGGCATAATTATGTTCTGGTCAGACAACAATTCCACTTTCCTGCTCATGGCAAAGCTAAAGGAATTCCAGGGATGCTGGAAGAGGACATGAGAACGCTGCCTGACAGGGGCAGGGAAGGACTACCCTCTGTGGTGGCAATCAGTGGTGACTCCTTAAGGTGTTCATGAAATTATCACTTCAAAAACTTAACCTGCCTTTAGAGAAACATGTGATCACTACCAGTCAGAAAGGAACTGCTGCTTCTGATAGAAACTGCTAGGCATGAGATGAGGTGCAAAATGAGCACTGCTATACTACCACCTTCAGATATGTTTCAAAGCATTGCCATCTGGGAATTCTCATCACAGCCAGCAATGATAACTCAGAATAATTTAATGGATGCTAATCTCAACTGGATGAAGATTCCTACAGTAAGATGTGAAAAAAAGTGCAAAGACAGACCTCAAATTTCTTGTGCATAATCTTTATAATGTAAATGCTGTCTTGAGTAACGGAACTTAATCTTGTCCTTATTTCAGAAGGAAAAGGCAGCTAAATTAACCAAAACCCTGTTGATTAAAAGGAACTAGTCACCAACTCAAGATTCTGCAAGAGCTTGAAGTTCCCAGCAATGTCCTACTTTGCACTAGCCCTCAACCCCTCAACGATAACTATTTGAGGTTTAACTATTACACAACAGTATGAAGTTACATAGACTCTAACTCATTATTGAGCTGCTACTTCTAGAAAAATTTCAGTGCTGACTGTGTAACAGTTTACAAATTTATTCAAAATATCAGAGTATTAAATCTGTATTCCTGCTCTGAACTTCTGCCCTTTTCAAAAAAAACTTTCTTCACATATCACATCTTGTAAATGTATTCAACTTTTAACCCTGTGAAACATCAAGGCTAAGATATAACTGATTTCTTTATCTCAGATCCTTTTTTTGTTTTTCTTTAAATAGCTGAATTGTTCTTAGCAAAATGAAGGTAAGACCACTGTTGTACACATTTTTTTCCCCAATACTGTTACAGCATTTTTAGAAATGAAACAGGAAGATTTGTACTCCAGAAAAAATATGTAACCATATGCTTAAATTTAAGCAAAGAAAAATAAATCTTCCTGAAGCAAAATGGACTAACAGACACCAGACTAAACAGGCAGGTAAAGACATCTGAAAGCACTGGAACCATAGTCTTTTAGAAGGACTTCAATATTTTATATCTGACTTTGCATTCAGTAAAGCAGATTTTCATCATCTTTCTACACTCTCCAAACTTCACAGGAACAGAATGGCAGTTTGGCACACAGACATTCAATGGAAGTGATAAGATCTAATCAAAATTTCTCATCAAAAACTTAAGACTTTTCCACTAAGATAAGACTGAAATGCAAAACACAATACATATAAGCATAGACATGTAAAACCTCAGTGCTTTGGGTATATACACCTGACAGTATCTCATTAGAACATTTCTTATGTAGTGACACATTACAGGTGCAACAAATACCATTCCTTTTAAGTCCTCTTTTTCCTGAGGGAAAAAAAAAAAAAAAAAAAAAAAAAAAAGCCCTGACCCAAGCTGACCAAAGTTAAAAATTATCTAATACTGGAGATACTTTTTTTGTTTGTTTAGAACAGAAGTGAACTTAAATCACCCATAACTTGGGAAATGTTATCTAAATATGCAAATGGTTTGACATTTGGTCTGCAGTAATACCACCAGAGACCGTGAACTAGAACTTATCCCAATTAGTAATTCAGGAAAGCAGAAATTCATAAATTCACTGAGACTCATCTGTAAGCCACAGAGTACATTGTTGCTGTTATCCCTTATAATCACCACACAGATCTATCAGACTAATGATACAACCAACAAGGCAACCATCTCTAACAGTCTATTTTTCATCAGTTGTTTATGTACAGAAACATGAACAGCTCAAAGTTTAGTTTTTCAGTACCTGTGATCAAACACAAACAAAAGCTCTCAACAATAATAGTCCAGCAAAAGAAAAATTAACATACTAAATACACAAAACCAGCACATTAAAAAAGAAAAGCCATTCTCGAGAAGATGATGACAAACTCAGACTCTCCTAAGTCAAATAAGGGATTTGTACAGGGTAATGATTTTACAGTTTATCAATGAAAAACATGTAACAAGACATACATAATTAATCTACAGTCACGAAGCAAGATGGCATCAAAGAAATACTGAGCATCAATTAGGTAAGAGCAAACACAGTTTTATGTATTATATGTCAAACAGCAATTCTATGATGAAGCACTCATTCCAGTGCATTTCAATTAGAAATACGGACACTAAGCCCTGCAAGAGGGGGGGGGAAAAAAAAAAAAAAAATCAAATAAAGTTCTGGTAATTCCCTTCATTACCTGCCAAAAAATGCCACTTTCATGTGTCTCCGTGAAAGCACTTCACCGATGACCGCTAACTTATTTTTATACGCCTGTATTCTTGCTAATTCGTCTTCTGTTGCTATGTGTTCAAGCTCTGGGTTCCTGTATGTTGCTACACATAGAAAAAGAGTAACATTAAAGCAATCATTTACAGAGTATGTGCTTCAGGATACAAGATACAGATTATCAGTACTTCAGATGCCAACAAAGTTTTGTGTAAATTTTAATTATATAGCAGTAATAAAACAAACAAAACCCCACTACAGACACTGAGCCCTTGTCATTTGACAGCTCCACCACAAGCACTTGTGAAATCATGACATAAATCATGTCAGATCAATCAACAGCCTAACTGTTGAATTCCTTAAGCCTGTGAACACAGTCTGCTGTGCTGATCTGCCCTGCTCTTTACAACACCTCCTTCCTTCAGAAAAGAAAGCTGGGACCTTCCATGGATGCACCAGTGAGGCTGGGCTGTCTTCTCTCTGCAAAGCAAGCTCACTGGGTGATGAGCAACCAACTCCACGTGGCCACACACACACCTCCACATTGCTAAAACTTCTGAGGGTGTAAACAGTGGTTCTCTGCATTACATCATGTTGATCTACTTTCCTACTGAATAATGGGAGAACCTGTTTGTCCTTTCTTCTATTCAAAAGAAACCGCAACAGGACTATAAATGCTGGAGTGGTTAAGCTTTCACCCTCGTGGAAAGGAGGCCAGGCTACCAGCCCACGTGATGCAATCAGCTTTTCATACATGTAACAATCCTAGGCATTCCTGCTAGCCTCACTTGAAAAAATCAACATCAAATGAAAAACGTGACTCTTTCTGAAAGCACTTGTATACACAAACAGCCCGCTGACATATATCATAACATACATTGTGCTGCTGTAAAACACCCAAAGCAGCAAAGGCCCTTGTGTAAGACAAAAGCTGACCTTCCACAAAAGTTGCTCCTTCGGTGACATAGTCCAGCAGCTGGTCGAAAATGGCAGTGATTGTCTTTTTAGCTAGCACAAAGTGCTTCAGTGGAGAGACGGTAGCTTCTGCCATTATGCAACTGCAACGAAAGTTACATCAAAGTGAACAAGACACTCGCTACACCCATCCACGTGAAAAGTCACACACTTCTCACTCAGGCATTTAAAAAACCTAACCAACACAAAACCGAAAACCTAAACCACAATGAACGCCACTACGTTGAGTTCACATTGGTTTTATTACCCTAACTCTTATCTCTTCCCCCATCACACGCACCGAGAGCTCACGAGGCTCGGGGATAGGTTTAAACCGATCTGGTGCAGCCTGCCCTCGAAATACGAGGCTTTCCCCTCATAAAACGCCGCTCACAACCTCCCCAGCGCTGGGAGATCAGCGCCGTTCCCTCGGCCCAGCGAGGACAGGCCCGCGGCTCCCCTCGGCCTGCCCGGCGGGCCCTGTCCCCGCCGAGGAGACAGCGAACCCCGCGGCGGCAACAGCAGGCGGCCAGCGGCCCTGCCCGGCCCCGGTCCCTTATGGCACCGCGGCTCGCTCCGCCGTTACCCAGCAACCGCCGCGCCGTGGCGGGGCCCGACCCGCCGCCGCCGCCTCCTCCTCTTCCTCCCAGCCCGCCGCCGCCGGGACGGGGGCGGACATGGCTTCCGCTTCCGCCTCACCCCACCCCCGGGCCCGCCGGGGCTCGGGGAGGGGGGGAGCGGCCGCCATCTTTACTGAGGGCCCAAGGGGGCGGGGCGGCCGCCATCTTCAGCGAGGGCAGAGGGGCGGCCGCCATCTTCAGCGAGGGCAGAGGAGGGGCGGCTGCTCGTGAAATGGAGGCGGGCGGTGTCCCCGCGTCCCGGGCCGCTGCTCGTCGGCCCCGCGGAGGGGAGCGGGGCGAGGGGCCTGGGGGCGGCACGGAAAAAACCTCAGCCCGGGCCGGGCTGGCGGCAGGGAGGACGCTGCGCAGTGCGGAGGGCAGGGGGAGGCTGCCGGCCGACGGGGCTTCAACGGTGAAATGATTAACTCGGCCTGCCGAGCCCCTCAGCGGTTTCACGGGGATCTGAAACAAAGACACCGAAGCATGACTGTGGGTTCGTGCGTAGTGTCAGCGCCATGGTTTAATCAAAGTCAGCTAAAAGGACAAACGCGAAGAACTTTCAGGAGTTAAAAAGCACTGATAATTTATCCATTTGATACAAGAGCGTAAGAAAATGAGAACAGCCGCAAACAATGAAAATAAACGACACCTGTTACAGAGAATACATTGAGAACTACTAATTTGCTGTATTTTAAGTTCTTGCAATAATTGGTGCCATGTAAATAATTTGTGCCATCTAAATTTTGAGGTCAATCTTTCATATAAAACCGTTATTTTCTCAGGAAGAAACATGATCCAGGAAGCTGACCTACACAGGACATACCTAATCTAAAGGCTCAAAAGCCTGAAAAGCAAAGAATCGAAAATAAAAATTACTTCCAAATAAAATTTACTTCCAAAACCAACCTTGTGATTTTGTATAGCTTCTAGTTAGAAAGCTGTTCCTGAAATTGATGAATGTTGCAAGCATCAATGTAATGAACAACAAACAACTGAATTTGATACACTCATGGAGTGTCTCAGAGGAAAAAAAAAATACTGGCATACTTCTGATTACTAGTTAATTTCCCTCGTTCAAGACTGAGATGAATCACTCAAGCTATAGGGTTAAAGACAACTTCAGTCTCTGGCAGTATCAGACCAGCTGCACGCACGTGCTCTTGGTGCACCTCGGTGCAGCAATGTCAGAGCGCTGACCTTCCACTTACATGCTTCACATAAATAAACCTCTTCCCTTTGATGGGGACAACATACTGTCCTTGGCATGTACATTCATTCCTTTCAGCCTTCCAACTTCTAGATAGACTCCACTCATTACCTATTTTATCTACTACTTAATATCTTTCTTGTTTTAGCATGCTGATCATGTGGAAGCCGATACCCTACTTGTGTTCCTGCTAAGGTAAAATGAGACAAGCTACGCCTGTACATTTCCATTTACTTTCCATTTGATATTAAAAATAAAATACTGACATTAGTCCCTCATAAAATCCAACCTATGACAAACTTGAATATACTTCCTACTTAGAGACTGTAGGGCACATTTTATCTAGGAATGATTTGACTTTGTAACATTCCTATGGGGTATTATTTTAATTCCCAGTTAAGTGATTATAAATACCACAGTTCAGTGATAGACTTTAAATTATTCAGGAGTCAACAAGCAAGTTTTCTGCATCACAGGGCTCTGTGCTTTCACAAGAGACCACCTTTCTGCACTGGACACAATGCTGGTCTATACAAACACACATCCTTCTTCAGCCCACTTATTTATTTTGGGGGGCTTTTTTAAGTGTCTTTTTTTCCACTTCTGGTCACTGACCCCTGGAGTGACTTTCCCTCCAGAGCTCAACTGTGCCATTCCACTTGTGTGTTGTCACCAAGAGCAGGGTTTTAAGAGAACCAGCATTCCCCCCTCTCGGTTATACCCATACGAACAAAATTAACTTTCCATACATAAAGTCATTCTTCTTAGTGCTTTGTTAACTATATTACTGCTACCATTTTAAGCCAGCCAGGATGAATGTGTTCAAAATAAAAAAAATAGCAATTCTATCAGACATTGTCATTCTCTATACAATGGACTAATAAAATACAGTCAGGACACCATCAGGTTACCCTTTTCAGTGACTACACGGAAGATTTAGTAGTTAATCAGCATTTTAGAATTATGAAAATGGTCTTGCCTCCTACAAAGAAATATACACCAACTGGGTCATAGCAGATTTTCCAGAAATTTATCTTTAGAAACTGGAACTTCCATAACTATATTCTAACTAACTATATTCTGCCAACTTTTATCCTTAGCTTTAAAAATCAAATGCAAAGACCCTTGCATGCTTTGAAGCTGGTAACACCAAATCTCACTGATCAAGAAATGTTCTATACATTAATTATATCTATACAAAGCTTGCATTAGACAATCTTACATTACAAATTTACAATCAATGCAGAAACGTGAACTCCACCACTAATTTATGGGTAATTTCACCCTGATAACTAGCACAACCTAAATGACCTCACCCTTATTTTTATCTGTCCAACTATCCACTCAGAAATACAGCTACAGAATGAATTGTAAAAAATAACTCACAATGATTATAGTGGCAGGACAGCACTATCTAATCTGAACAGATGTGTAAAATCATTTGAAAGTCATTAAAGTTATTAACATTTTTGTACTTATCAGTGTCTTAAGCCAGTATATAGGAAAAGTTTTAATTTTACAGAATTAAAATAATAGTCCTCCAATTACTAGCAGTGGAAAGCTAATTATAAGTATGGAGTTATGAAATATAATTATAGACTAATAGAAGCTTGCTCTAAATGAGGTTGGTGACATACATCATTTCAGTGAGAACTAAATTAGGATTTTAGATAAGAAAAATCACACTTCGTATGTTCTCAGCTGGACCATTTCGCAAATTCCCTTACGATTACTCCTTAAAACATGACCCAGTCTACACACCAGCAATGTGTTTCCTTGGTGCATTAAAAGATAGGAACTGAAGGTAAATAGAAGAGACAAAAATGATGTGTGAGGTCTGTAGTAAATGTATGGAAGAGTCAGTTGTCGGATAGTTCCACAGACAGGAGTTGAAATTAAACACTGAACAAAGAGGTCAGATAGGTACCCCAAGAGAAAAACAGGAACAATTTTTAAAGCTTATCCAGAGTATGAAGTGGGAAATGGAGGCTGGTATGTCAATTTGGAGACATCCATGCCTGGGAACTTTTGGAACACCCTCATCTTTGGCAGGATGGTGCAAGTTGTTAAACATCAGCACCATGACTTGCTGCCACAGAGGGTAACATGAGCTGGATATGCAATTGAGATTGGTGGGGCGTTACTTAAGCATGGAACTAGATGATGGCTTTCTCTTTGTCCCTTTGTAAACTTGAGAGAGCTGGTCTTGTACATCAGATGTGGAAGTGCGGGATGACCATCAGAACTGCAATCACAACATGCAACTAGTCTAACTGTCCCTTCCCCCAAAATCTGATCCATCACACCGTAAATGTGATTATTCCTACTGACACCTCTAGATAAGGAAATTCATAATACCAGGTTGTTATACATGCTTTGCTGATACAAAGATGAAAACATTAGAATTGTACAGTTGCTGTTAAAATTGTATTTAATATCACATTTCAGTGACTGGAAATTAATTCCAGTTCTAACAAACTGATTACAGGGAAAAAAAGTCATCATGCTGTCTCATGTATCTGAAGATGACTTAAAAGATCTTTTTCATTTCCAAACCTCATTAAACAATCAGTACATTTATGAGGCAAATCTGCTGAATGCCTGAAATCCAAGTGAGTTTTAAGGTCTTCAATCTGTCCTGTTGAATATTCACAGTACTGACACAAATAAATCCCTTCAGATAAATGAGAGCTTAAATGCTTGCAATATTCCAACATACCTGAAAAGCCCTTCCCACAGTCATCACAAACATGAGGGAATATTTTGGTATGTTCAATAGCTACGTGCCTGTTGACATTCGTATGCAGCCTGCTCCTAAAGCCGCACACTTGGCATACAAAGAAGTTTTTGCATTTGTCAAAACTGATTTTGTTTATGAGACTGTACTGTCCACGCTCCTTGTTATTATAGCTGTCACTTAGCTCTATCAGCCGACACGCATGTTCGTTCACCACATGGCTATGCAGATCTTCGGGATCATTTGTTTCATGCTCACAGAACTGACACAAATACTGCTCGTCACAGCTATGTTCCTGGAAGTGCAGGTACAACTCGCTGCTCGAGGAGAACTGCATGTCACACTGCTCACACCAATAAAGGTGGTCATTGAAGTGAGTGTCTGCTATGTGCTGACTCAGATTCTCAAATATCACTGTTTTGTAATCGCAGTATTTACAGATGTACGGATCCTCCTCATGTAGCTTCACATGTTCAATGAGCTGCACTTTGCTGGAGAAGCTTTCTTTACAAACTTTACAGACATGAGTGTCTGTACACGGCTTATGCTTCAGGATCATGTGCTGCTTCAAATCAGAAAAGTACTTGCTATTAAACTCACAGAGCTCACACTTGTATAAGCCACTGCTGTTGGCTCTCAGCAAAGGCCATTTCTGTTGAGCAGTGATATTCAAAGCCTGGTTCTTCTCAAAGATTTTACAGGTTTCCAGAGGGATTTCCTCTAGGTCCTCAGCTTCTAGCTTCTCAGGTGACACAGTCTGTGTTTCTATATCGTGAACTTCTACAGCATTCACTTCTGTTGTAGAGATTTCTACAGTTTGAATATCTAGAGGTTTCTCTTCTTCTGTAGGGCTGTCGCTGAATATAGGTGAATCACATAAGTCTCTGCACATGCCATTATTAGTACCTTTATCTACAGGAGGAAATAGATAGCAAAAGGTTAAAAAAACTCTGCAAAACACCTGGGTCCACATTTAACTTTTCAGTTAGTTGTAGCAACTTACAAATGCAAAAAGCAATTCTTTTTCCCCAGCCAGACTGTGTTTTATGTTTAACTAACAAACAAACAACGTAAACTACAAATCCTTCACCTCTTCTGTCAAAGCAAAAAAGTTACACTAAAAGCCATCAGCCGTGCTCTCTGACTTCCCAGCAACTAAGCAGCAAATACATACTGACCTTTACCTCTCTCTTTCTTTTTAGGGTCTGTATAGTGAAACCCCACAGCGTTTGAATGGGCCCACTGAGAAGTGCCAGCATGCACTGGGCTCCCATCATCATCTGTGTCCAGGCTCTGTGCAGGACTGTGGAATCTACCTGCAAAGATCAGTGGAGGATTTTCTTCTCATCATTTGTCCATACTAGCATCATTGCGATTCTTTGATTTAACCGTAGATCTGATTTACTGTTTATTTATTCTAGTTGCATAAATTTATATACTAATCGCATGATAACCAACATTAAAGAAAGTAACAATAAATATCTGAAATTATTTCCATATGTACAAAAGACAACAGAAGAATTAAGAAGGTGGCAACTCTGTCTTAAGATTTCAGCACAAAATAGCCAGTTGATTATACTGGAAAAAACAAACTTAAAACCCCTAAATGAAACTTTACATTTGAAAGACGTAATTTAAAAAAATATTCTTAAATATTTCCAAACGTTACATTTCTAAATACAGTACTGTCTAAGAGTTCTGGAGACTTGCTGGATAATTTATTAGAGTGAAAAGAAGTATAATAAAAATTCATCCTCACATTTGCTCTGCTGAACTTTACATCCAGTAGTGGATGTTGTATAAAAAAGCATTTTGTTTTCCATAAATACAAATACAGTTCAATGCAATTGCTGGTAAATTCCAGCCCAACTCTTGAATTATTTGCATCAGCTCTGTGTTACCTATCTGGCAGGTATTTAGATAAAGACGTGTAATCATCATTATAATTGCAGTAAAACTAAAGGATCTTTTTGTCGTCACTGTTTTTTTACTTTGAAAATTTTATTTCAATTGTAATAATTAAACAAGCTTCCATCAATCTAAGGCACATCAGATCACAACAATGCTTAGAGGTCACCCGCACGGTATTTTGTATTGTATTTACTTCTATGAATAGGAGCTTAGTAAAAAATTACACTTAGTAAAAAATTGCAGCACAAGACCCCAGAATGCACTCTTACCTCTGTGTTCAGAAAACTTTATATCTGGCTGTTTCATAGAACAGACGCTATAGCAGTGGTCAGAAAAAATTCCACTGTTGTCTATGTATTTGCTTGCACCGGAAGAATCTAAACAGCAAAAGAAATAACACATCAATGTAGCTACATATGTCTTTCATGTTCACCAAAATCCTCTTTACTAGCTGCATTTTTACTTCTTGGGTTGCAAGACTTCTGTGTTGGCCTGATAACATTCCCATTGTGAGTTACAACTTTCAGCTGCTCTCCTGCTGTTTGGAGTATCTGAGACAGTCGTTATCAAACTCTACTCCCACTGCAGACAGCAACAGGAACACTGTTCAGCACTGAACACTTCTGGACATCCCCATCCCAACTTTTACAAAATTCGTCCTCTTATGGGTTATGTGTTCATTTTGTAGCTTGAGCAAGTTTCCCAATTTGCAAGGAGTACAGAAGTGTTCCGATGCTTTGACTGAAAGCGGCTTAACAACAGAGCATGTAGTGTGGGTACTCAATACATTCGGACCAAGACTACTTATCCCACCATTTATGTTACTGATTTCCCATGTGTTAGCACATGTAGTCCCTTCTCATAAAGTAATTATTCTCAGAAAAAATAAACTTATTAAAAGCATACATAACTCAAGCTCTAGACTGACCTGAATATCGAGAAGGATGTAGAGTCTTCCTTTTCCTCTTTTTAGGATGTTCATTCATTTTGAATAGTCTACATTAATTGTAAAGTGAAAACATGCAAGAATTAGACTTGTTTGTAATCTAGTTTATCTTTCAAGACTTTATGAAACAATACACACATTTTGAAAACTCGCACATTTAACACAAAAGATTTTATTCCTGCTCCCCTTTCTTGCCCCCAGCCCATTTTGTTACAGTTAAGAACACCTTAAATGTACACAGGTACTGAAGTCTAGTTTCATATTCCTGACTTGGAATAAAATAATGTTTGCCATAAAACCAGACAGGTAGGAACTGAAGTACTCAGTGATCTCCAGCATCCTGTTGCGTTTTATCAGAGACCAGATATTCTGAGGCAGAGTCCTTCAGGTGAAGTTTTAATGTTGAAAATACTAACAGAAGTCATGTTCTTACCAAAAATCCTGGGCTCCTCAGTATCAGCAAACAGAGCAGCTAAGAAGTTGATGGCTGTACTGCTTTCAAATGTAGCAAATACATTTTCGAGAAGATTTTCATCTATGGAGTGACAGCATTTTAAAACACTTTAAAACTTGAACACAAAAGAAAAACAACACAAAACAAAACAGAATCAGATCCACAAGTATTACAAAAAATGAAGCTATGGAAATCGAAGCTAGAAAACAACATAAAAAGTTTATGCTAATTTTGGTTTTGAATATCAAAATTAATAAGGTAGATGCATTATTTATTTTCCTTTTGTCCCAGGTTAGTTGGCTTTTGCCACACTTGGCAGCTCCTGACAACAGAAAAACATCTGGAGAGGACACCAAAAATCCTTGTGCTATACACTGACCAAGATAGTTTTTAAGAAGGGCTGCAAACATGGAATCTGATGTGGTTTACCTTAACACTGGAGCGCTTACGGGCCCAGGGTATTCTACAGAGGTGAGAACAGGAAAAAAAGGCCCCTCATCAAGTAAATGCTGTTCTCGTGAGATGCAGTAATTTGTCTGGATTTAAGTTTTATCTGAAAGGGACAATAATAGGGAAGAATTAGATGGGTTTTAACATTGTATCATGGATCTACAAGTATTAAGATACCCTCATCGCTTTTTCTGATTGTGAAGAACCTACACTGTACGGAGATAGCCAGTTTTAACCCAGTTAACGCTGCTCAACCTTTTCCCCACGGATCGGCCCAGCGGACAGTAACGCCCGTTACTCATCTCCACCGGCTTTCCCCAGTACGTCTTTCCCAGCTGCTCGGCGCCGTTACAGGAAAGGCTCATAACGGCCCTAAAAATCGAGATTCCCCCGGCCCCCCCAGCGAGCCGGCCGCGGCCTGCGCGGGGGCACCCGCAGGCGGGAGCGCGGCAAAGGCGCCGCTCCGCCCCGCAGCCGGGGGCAGGGGTGAGGCCGCGGCCACGCTCCGGCGGCGGGGAGAGAGGGCCCAGCCCGGAGCCGCCACCGGAGAGCGCCGCAGGCCCGGCCCCGCCTCAGCCCCGGCGGAGCATGAGTCTCCCTCCCTCGGCGGGGGGGGGCACGCGGGGCGGCGGGTTTTCGCGCTTCAAATGGCGCCGGGGCGAGGTGGGGGGGCGGGTGTGCGGGGCGAGGGACAGCGGCAGGCGGAGCCAGGGGGCTTACCCCCGGCGCGGCGGTCGGCGCCGGCAGCCGCTCCACTCCCGTCCCGCCGCCGGGACTCACCTTCCGCTCCGCTCCGCGCCCGCCACCGGCCGCGGCCGCCGCCGGACCCGGCGCTCCCCGCGGGGGAAGGGGCGGGGCGGGGCGGGCGGCGGGGCGCCCTCTGGCGGCCACGCTGGCGCCTTGTGACCCACACACCCCCCCCCCCGTCGCCATAGCAACGGGGCCGGGGCCTAACCTAAACCCTTGATTTGTCTTTTAATTTATACGTATATACTGGCATCCCGCCGCTGCAAACGAAAGGCTCTGAGAAGTTCACCAGCACCTTTTCACACCTGGGCTGGGGAAGCACGGGGCAACTGGGAGCCTAAGTTTAGAGAGGGCGGGCAGGTGGCATCACCCTACAACAGTCCATTTCACACAAGAGAGGTTGGTGTCAAAGCCAAAACCTCTTACAACATTTAACTTTTTGTATCAAGGCAGAAGCTGTTGCTGAAAGCTGCTGTACAGTGTATATGAAAATCAATGTAAAATAAGGGTTGGAGAATTAAAAGAAGCAACTTTCCCCTTCTCAAAATTTTCCACATTCATAATCACAAGAGAATCCCCCTTTTTGCTCATTTCATCTTCACTTTTTTTTTTTTTTTAAGCCACAGGAAAAAAACGTAAGTTCTATTTCTTCACAAAGCAGAGTATTTCAAACAGCATCTTATTTTTCAAAATAATAAGTCATTTATTTTGAAGACACAAGGGAGACCATTACAGTAACTTTGTTTCATGACTTAAAACAGATCATGGAATTGTGCCAAGCTTTCAATTCACTGAGCTATTCAGGCTAAGCCAGAGCAGAATTTACCTAATTTTAAGATCAAGCTTTCAATTAGCAGAGAATCCACAACATTCTAATGTTGTTGCTCCACTGATTAGTAAAAAAATTATATCCTGCTTCTAGCCTCAGTTTTATTCATTAGATAGAAGTTGAGATTGGATTTACTTGGTTTATAAAATCCTACCTTTAGCCTTTGTCCTGAAAGCTGGAAACATGTCTTTAGGGGGATGCAATTTCATTACAGCAGTATAAGAGCTTCATCCTGTGATCACACATAAGTTCTGAAGGTAAGCAGCACGAATGTAAGTACAGCTATCCTTTTGAAGGCACACTGCTGAGCCCTCAGAAATTAAACATATGCAGTGTATCTATTCACTCTTGAGCTGAATTACTAATTGAACAAGATCTTGACATGCCAGTTCATTTTGTTCTCTGCTATTTATTACTGCCACAGGAGCTGAGGTGTCTCCAGGACAGCAAACTTCTCATAAATTGGCTATAGCCACCCAAATGGGTGGATCCTCACATGTTTCTCCTATTCCAAGTGGTTTCCATGTAAATATTAAAAAAACAAAACAAAACAACTTTCCCCAGTTCCCAGTGGAGGGCAGTAATGAGAACTTAAAAACTCCGTAATTTGCCAAGAGAAAGGGAAAGAAAAAAAAAAAAAAAGCAAAACCAATCCTTTGCTTTGAATTCAGTCCTGCTTGGCAAGACAAACTCAGGCTAGCCAAAGCACAAGGCATCTTCTGTACCTTTTGATTGATTATTTCTCCACACAGAGCAGCACCACCCAACAACACCTATGTCAGATGTTAAGACAAGGCTGAGTGAAAGAAAAACATCTGAGGAGGATCCTCTTTGAAGCCACAGATCCAGTTCAAAGTCATGGGCATCAAACAATGATATCAAAGCTCTAGACAGAAAAGTCTAAATGAGGCCTGTTTTCTAAACCACCACATACTTGGGATGTTCAGACAGCTCTGGATCAGGTTTTAATCACTCAGAACCCATTCCAACTGGAAATACAGAAAAGCCTGTGTGATATTCACCTTACTTAAATGGACAACACAGATGATGCTCATTTCAATTATGAGGATGTATTCTTAACAAAAAAATGGAGTAAACCCTTTCTTCAATGAATACAGTAAGCGCAGCTCACAGCAATAACCTTTGCTGATGGTAGATGAATGTTTAAAAGGACATAGAGGAGGTTATTTGAGGTATTTTGTCTATCATCATTTTTCTTGCTCTCGTTACATGGGTTCAGATTTTGGATCAAGTCTTTTCAATGCACGTTGGAAACCAGGCTGATTTGTAAGCATAAGATCAGGAGGGCTCATTGAGATTCCTGTGCTAAAGTAAACTGCCCACATTGCAAATCATTCATCTGTTTCACCAGCATTATTTTGCAAGTTTTCCATAATTTTTTGGTGCTGTAGGATTTGAGACTTAGAACTACCACAAAAATCACACCACTGTAATGGCAGTAAAGTCTAAAATTTGCATTTGAACAAGAACTGATGATCGCATTTTCCTGAACCATCCTGTGCATTTAAAAACAAAGTAGTATGCACTCATAACCATTTCATAGTTACTAGAAAAGGTAAAACTCACCTTACACTGTAATAAACAGAAATTTAATCTGTTAGTTCAGGTTACTGAACTAGCTACTTCAAAATCATGAGCCATACTTTGATTCAGTCTCTCTAGACTAGAGCTCAGGTTGAGATTCAAAATAAATGTAGGGATAATGATGTTCACCTTTCATTACGGAGTTTGACCCAGTGCAGACTGAGCACCTGCTGGAACACTGACCTTCTCAAAGCTAGGCAGTGGTGATCTGAAACAGAACTGACCAACGTACAAACTTTAATGCTTACTGCAAAGATGTGTAGAAGTGACCTGATTAAAAAATGACACTTCCCTGACCCCTCCCAAAAAGTGAAATTCTCAGGAGGAAAGCTCAAATCCCTCTCACAATAACAGTTTGTTAGCAACTGAAGTCCAAAGTAGACCAACATGTTGAAATAAGCAACTCCATTGCAGCCCCATGCTCTTATAGTCACCATTAATTCCCCAAATGTTTCTCACTCTTTCAAAATTACTATTGAATACAAAAATACAACCTAGTTTGTTTTTTTTTTAAATATAGTTTCAGTAATGAAAGCATGAAAGACATTTTTCAAAAACAAACCAGATTGATTTAGCAGGGACTTTAAAATCATCCAGCTGAATTATTTCGATAATATCTGCTCTCTTATCACAATTTTTATATCGCACACCTAAAATAAGTTACTTATTTTGAGGCTCAATGTGTACAAGAATGAATGACATGTGCATCTAGGACTTCCCATCCATAAATAATGCAAATTCTATTTCTGTTCCCCACCCAAATTAACTGATGCATACAATTTCTAACCTCTTTCTTCTAGCCTTTTTCAAGAGCAGAGCTGCAACACCAAATCATACCTCCAAGACCGACAACTCCTTAAATTCTCACTTCAGAATTCACAAGTGTACCAACCATATTATTTTAATTTACTTGTTAGCATATACATTAACACTCAGAAGTGTGATAAAAACCAAACAAAAGTAGGGTTTTTTTTAATAAACAGCATGTGATACAGATCGCAAAGATAAATAAAAAGCAGACTTTTTACAGTTTCCCATGAACATGAACTACAGTAAGTATCATAGGCCAAACTTTTGTTACTTGAGTAGCACAGCAGAAAGGGAAAAAAGGGTTGTTTTTTTTTGTTTTTTTTTGGTGGTTGTTGTTGTTGAAAAGTACTGCAAGACTATTCTCATTATGACAACACATGCATCTTGCTGCATCTTCAATATTTTTTTGGCCCATTATTACTAAAAATGTCTTGCTTCCTAACTACATTACCACAGGACCTTTATTATAGAATGACATACACATGGCAACATTTCCCCCCCTCCCCGTAGTGGTTATTTCAAAGAGAATTGTCTCATTCTTAAAAGGTAATTCAAGCATTTGTGGGTGTTTATACTCTCCTTTTGATGCAGACGTGTAACTGCTACCAGCTTCAAAGTTACATATAAGCATCAAGGGATTACACCCTGCTGGGCTCTATTTATCCAAAATGCCAACAGGATCCTGGCCTGCCTTAGGAAGGGCATTGCCAGCAGGTCGAGAGAGGTAAGCCTTCATCCTACCCCTGTGCTCAGCACTGGTGAGGCCACACCTGGAGTGCTGGACCAGTGCTGGGCTCCCCAGTACAAAGCCAGTACACAAACATACTGGAACAGGTCCAGTGAAGGGCCATGAAGATGACAGATAGGATAGGAGGCTGAGGGAGCTGGGATTGTTTAGCCTAGTGAAGAGAAAGCTCAAGGGTAGCTGGTCAATGTATATAAATACTTGACGGAGAGAAGTAAAGATGACAGTCAAGGCTTTTCTCAGTGCTGCCCACTAAAAGGACATTAGGCAGTGAAATAGAAGAAATTCCATCTAAACATTAGGAAAAAACTTTTACTGTGGACTCTTTCTTGGACTGACTCTAAACCCAACTAGACAATGTCCCAGACCACCTGCTCTAGCTGACCCTGCTTCAAACAGGGTGGCTAGACTAAATGATCTCCAAAGGTCTCTGCCAACCTCAATGATTCTGTGCGATTCTGCGAACATTACTGCGATTATGGTGCCAGTTGCAATGACAACACTTTCAAAATTTCAAGCCTGAGAATACAGGACTTCAAACTGCAGCCATATATATTTAAAATCCTTTTCTCCACCAGGGATATCATATATGGTTATTCACAGATAAACTTCCAGAGGGGGAAGGAGAAAAGGTGATACTACCAAAATATGAATTGTACATTTATCTTCACAAGAGAAGATGAAGAATTTGGACCACAGTGGCTGTAAGACAAGAAGATTCATCTCTTCACCTCTTCCTTTCTTTCCTCTGTCCCAAATGAAACAGTATGACAACAACAGCCTGGGACATGTGATAATTCAGGATACAGAACACCATTAATAAAACCTGGAAATAGAGGAAAAGTAGTTAAGCCAAAGAATCAAGGCAGAATGAGACTACATCTATGATTATCTGTGTTTTGGCTCCCAAGGATTAACTAAACTACAACAGACATAAGATTCTCAGGAAGAACAACTTCTGCTTGAATTCAGCTTTCTGTAACTTCAGCAATACAATTAAGTCAGATTTAACTGTGATTAATTTTATTAGTGCAACAGGTCCCTAACAAAATTGATGCAGTTACACTGAACTAAGTGGTTCTTAAACCAGTCTAATAGCTACTGGAGATCTGGCAGCAGAATTTCAGAAAGCATCAAGAAAGAGCAGTATACTTTTGGCCTTCCTTATGTCAAAGGAATATTGCATGACATACAGAAGTGACAGTAAGGACACCTTAAGACACATTTATACAAACTAAAGTGGACACTAGCTTCCAAGTACAGGCAGAGCATTGCTCCAATTGATCTTCTCTTACAAATATTTGATGCTGTTCCTATGCTATGGGCATGTCCCTTTCTAAGGGAGAAGGGGGGTGTTAGGAAGAGACAGGGAAAGAGCTCTGTCTTAGGAGTGCTAACACAGTAAGACCTCATACTTTTAAAAGTCTATCCCATAAAGCTTAGAAGTCAATAATACGGTACTGAAAATTAAGAACAACTACTTCTCCTGAGTGTGGGTTCAACAAGTCTTTGTAATATTAAGGAGTACGAAGAGGAAATATTTAAGCTAGCAAGAAATAAAAATCCTGGAAGTCTCAAGAATGAAGGGAACTATAGACAAGATCACAGTAGTCATGAATTGGAGAGCTGAAAAGGCTAGTTAAGGATTATTTCAAAGTAAAATTGTCAAGTGTTTAACCGGGCTGCTAGTAAACATTCCTCTTATTAAGAGAGGACCTCTCATACTGAATCATATGAATAAGTAATCTAGAACTTTAATATACATACAGTCTAATTCCGATTTCATATGCTGTTGTGAATCCAGAGTGATTCTGATGAAGTCAGGGTTATAATTAGCATAACTGAAATCAGAATTTCTCAGTGACCAGAGCACCTGTAGGTTTGGTTAGTGTATGCAGATAGAGAACTTCTTTATCCAGTTTCCAGTTGGCCTCCCTTTATTAACACAGATGTAAATATAAAACAAAACAAAACAAAAAAACAAAAACCCCACACCAACTGCAGGCGTGGTGAGCTACACATCATTTTGGACAGATAGAGCCTTACCTAAACTGAGACAACTTTCAGCACAAAAAAAAAAGATACAAATTCATTATTCGTATGAAACATTGAAAAATTAATTTGGGATTCAACAATCTGCAACAACATCCACAGCTATATAGTATTTAAAAAACCAAGTGTGGTTCTTCTTTGATTCAAGTAAAACTAAAACAAGAGAAAGAAGTTAAAAAAAAAATAATCTTAGAAGCAGCAAGTTACAATTCTTTCTGTAATACCACGCCATTTTCATTAACTTGAAGCATTTTCAAGATGTCAAAAACATCAACAAAATAGTAATTTCAAGTGGCTTTTTTTGATATTTTTTTTTTTGAATGGGTCCAGCCCAGGTCTGCAACCTGTACAGACATGCAGAACAGGAGGAATTCACAATTATTATTAAGAACAGATGTTGGAACATGCCAGTTATACAATGACAAAGCAAAGAAAATACCTTCAAATTGTCAACAAACATGGGCTACTGACCAGTAAAGGGTTTTTAATATTTTACATAAAAGGGAAAGTTGGAAAAAAAAAAACAAAAACAACCCTCCAAACCACCACCAGCAGGGTCATCACATACAAAGTTCTCTATAAGCTTGGTAATTTCTATATTGCCCTTAATACGCAGGCTTCTATCTTCTCCACAAGATGCCAAACCACTAATGATTTTGATTTTATTTAAATGTTTTCATTTTAAAAATTGTACTGAAAGTCTGTTTCACCTATAAGAAAAACCTACTAGTGCACCCTTTCAGAACAGAAAAGAGTGCGTATGTCAGTACAGGTGCTTTTTCTGCTACCTTTAGGAAAGCAAATAATACATTTTTAAGAAAAACTTAGCAGCAGCATCCTGTTCTGTCAAAATCAAACATAGTTTCACAGTTGAAAAAGTTACTGTCTTTAAATTAATATTTCACTAAATCACCATTTCGTAGTGCTTTGTAATAAAACATATGGCCCAATCCTGGGCTCCTCGCTCTGGTAATCCTACTGTAATGTTTTGCAGGAGCAAGGTGTTCAGATTTAATTCAAGCTTAAAGTTATGTAGTGTTTTGTGAAGCTGATTCTCAGAATAAAGGGAACATCTCTAAACCTCCATGAAATGGGAATATTTAAAAAATAAAAAATCCAAATTCCAAGCAATCTCTGTAAAAATCTAGAGCTCTGTTACAGGTGCTTCCACAGTCTGTAAACAGATTTGATTTCTGATACTGAGAATAGATGACATCCTCTCGTTTACACCAATGTAAGTAAGTAGTACCTCCACTACCTTCAGTGAAGTCACATCAGCACAAAACTGGTGTAACAGGGTAAGGTAATTAGGGTTGTACATTTTGAGGCTGAAAAAACTACTTTTTTTTTTCCTGGAACACCAGCACAATGTTTTTCAAATACCCATCCCGGTTATAGTAAGAACTGCTTAAAGCCCATAAGCTTCTCCTACTTTTTAACAATTTTGTTTAAAGGCTATAATTTTCCCAAATTGTATTATGTCTGTATCGCTATGAAGTTTCTTTCCTTTTACTATTTGATGTTCATAACTTCTACAGCTATGCACAGTATTTAGTTGCAGTAACTTTTGGAAACAGAGCCTGATTCCTCATACCTTTCTGTTTGTGCAAAAAGGGTGCAGAACACTATGCTTGAACTGAAAGACATTTATATTCATATTTACAGAAGTAAATGGCTAGAAAGGGGCAAAGTACAAAAGAAGTTGGGGTCATAACATCCAATAGATTTGAGCTGATCTTTTAATCCAGGTTGGAATAGGCTGACCATCTTAGATAAATGAGGTAAAGCATTGTTTCAATACCAGATAAATAAGGATAATATAGCACCTAATGTAGCATTTGTGCAACAGTTTTACTCAGTTAAATTAAGGGTTACAGCCAACGGGGTTTCAGATTGAGAACTAAATTCAAATTGAAACTAAGCCATGTTTTAAAAGATCTAACCACCAGAGTGGTTTGACTGCAAAGTAACACATACAAGGGTAATTTTGTCTGGAAAGTATGACCAAGGTTAGCAGGAGTTAAAATATTCATATGAACAAAAAGGAATATGTAACAGTCAATAAAGAGAGCAATGGGAAGTCTATTTGACTACTCCAAAATATTTAGCAGAATGAAGGAAATCAAGTTTCACATTCCCCATACTATTCTTGGAACTTCTGTAGTGTCCACAAAAACAGGTTTCTCCCCATAACATCAAGTATCCATGGGTGCAGTAATCAACTGCAGGATCTTGACTATGAAAGTATCTTGAAAGACCAAAGTCCTGGCTTTACAATCCCCAAAGTCTTTCATAATGTAATTGATTGCACATTTTTAATATATTACAATTTGCTAAATGAAGCCAACCACTCATTACCTCATTAGTACAGCCTCCACAAAGTACAGTTTAGTTATATACTTATATTCTAATCTAACACCAGCTGTCAGCATATTTTATATTACATGTGGTATTGCACTTTGAGTGGCACCTTGGTGCGTGTTTGCAAGAGAATAAGCTGAACCCCCGAAAGCCCCAAACCTTTGGAATTCACTCCAAGTGCTGCCAATCTAACAAGTTTAAAATGTTAGGGTGAACATTACCCTCAGAATCATGGGCTTCACTAATTAAAAAAACTGTTTAATAATTAGAAAAACAGTCCTACCTGAAGTTGTGCAATAAGGGCAGTCTGAAATCCTCAGTACTCTGACCAGTTTCAAAAAGTGGTGCCAATTTAATTGATTGCACACATTGTAATTGTGTTAGAGGACAACAACTAGATTTACAAATATATATTACACACACAAAACAGACAAAGGTATAAAATGTTTGGTAACTCCACATGCTTTGAGCTAGCCAACTTATCTGCTGTATGTTGAACTGCTTATTATTGATCATGTTGAAAATCTAAATTGCTGTTTCTGATGTGTCTGTTACTGGATTAAACAACCACTTCCAAAGGAGGAAGAAAGAAGAGAAATGGTGGACCCAAGGATTGAGGGTTTAAATGTACATTCCTTGAATAGCCAGCATATCACTTCAGTAACGTGAAGAGTGATGCCCAAAAACTTGTGAAGAGACTTAGGCCAAGTTCACCTCTGGCATTAGTGGGTATATCTCCCACTACTTCAATGGTACTTGTGTCCTCTTTCACCAGGGTTGAATTTGGTCCTAGGAGTATATCTGGTCACCTTCAGTGACATTAATGGAAACGGGAGTCTTGGACAGATAGAACTGGGCTGCAAAATTAAAAGAGTGAATATTGGACAAATCATGTAAATAAAGAATATATATTAATAATAGTTCCTATTATATAAATAGCCTTTATAAAAAAATAATCTTTCAATAATTTTAATAACTCACCTTTCTTTAGGTACTGGAAAACATGTATGAAAAAAATCTATTCAGTTCAAGTTAGATTAAAGCAAACCTAAGATGAACACTACAACTCTCCGTTGCACTAAACCCAATTCTGACCATTCCATTTCCAGGTTAGTCAGTTTTGGGGGATGATAGGGAGTTTCTTTGTGAAGGTATGAATTGCACCCCTAGAAATACTGAGCAGAAGAAACACCATACTGAATGGACCTATTTCCTACTGCTTTCGGAAACTGTGCAGGTGACGGACCCAGAAATCAAAGGGTCATCTAAACCCCATAAGCGTTAATGCCTCTGAGCACATTTAAAAGGCACTGTCCTCTCACTATTGTTTTTAGATCTTTGAGCTTAAAACTTCTTCCCTTACAAACTATGCTGCATTTAAATATTTTCTATCACTTGAATTCTCTTTTCACTCTTCTCAATCCAGCATAGTCTCTACTTGCTGTACCAGATCTAAGGTAATATGTGATGGACTATGTTCATGCTAGCACTATTTTCTTTTTCCTTCTAATTTATCCTATCAAATGAAAAAAGGAAACATTCTTCCAAGTTTACCTTTTGGGCTTAAGGCATAACATGAAGTCACACATCATACTAAAGCTTAATTTTTGAAGCGTACAATTTTAGTGCTATCTGAAACCCTGTTTTACATTACTTTCCAACAGTTGTCTGAACAGTTCATCTCTTTGCTTGCCATAAATTCTAGTGTTTGTGATTTGTGCAATTCCTATGCAACCAGTCATTGCTGCTAACAGGTATTAACAGTGCAGTACCCACAAAGTGGGCTATCAGTTCTTGTTTTCTTTGCTTTCATTTCAGTTCAAAGCATGTTGCTTTATTGTGTGGAAGATCCAGTCCATTTTTGTTGTCCAACCACCATGGTGAGCATCATTCATTTGCTTCATGAAATACTCAAGAGCTTCCTGCTCAGTTTTGTCCAATGCAAGGGTCTTTCGAATGTATGCAATATCGTCAAAGGACTGCAGTTCTGGCATTCCTGAGCCAAGCATCATGGAGAAAAGATTTATGAAGAGATTGGCATGCTGCCGAATTGCTAGATAAGCCTTATAACACATCTCCTGAAACCTGGAAGAGACAGGGAAAAAGCTCAGTGTATTTCCTTATTAGATGCACATTATTTCACCTGCAAAAGAGTTTTCAGGTAACTGGACACTAAAAAAAGTAGACAGTATTAGTCTAGTAAGAACATCAAGATGTAGCTGAGAAAATAGACTCATCTTGATTTCTGCAAGAATCAGTAGTGGTCAGACTAACACAATAACCAAACTGAAGACAGGCTTTCTAGCCTTAAACCTCATTTGCAATTCACGCAAGCTTTCAACACAAGTTTCTGGAAGTTCAGAGCCATTTTAGTCATCGCTACTGACATTTCATAATCAAAGCACATATCCTGATATACTGCTGCAGTGCTTTTCCTGGTTACCTGTAGTTTTATGATGACAGCGGCTGTTGCTCCTTAAATATTGAAAATGCAAAGACAGCGGCATTTGCTGTATCACAATATTGGGTGAGAAATGTCCACTTAAGTCAGGTTGAGAAAAAAAAAAATACCAAAAAAGCTTTACAGCAGCATTCAGACAACACTAACTTAAAACCTATCTCCCTCCCATCCAACATAATGAAATTAAAATTGAAACCTCTCAGACTGGATATCTGGAAGGACAGATATTAAGAATGACTACAGCAACAGATACGTTTTTTTAAAAATTTTATTGTTATTATAAAGTTCTCCTTTCTTATCAGGTTCTGCAGAATGTCACACAAGCTACAGAGGCCAGCTGAAGAGCTGATATCACAATGGCAATAGGAGAGAGAAGTTACTGCTGAGTGACCAGAAAGGCTCTGAATGCGCATTACACCTGATATTTAAGAATTCTCAGTTTTTGCAGTTACGCAACCCCAAGAGTATTTTAAGTATTAAATAAAATAAATCAGATATTAAAAAAATTATCTTTATTCACATGTGTGCTGACCCTGCAAAGATAAAGTGAGGTTTCATGAACCAAAGGCCATGTAAGTGCTAAGATCACCTACTGATTTACAAGCGGATGGCTCATCTTCAACTAAAGAATTAGAACATACTCACTGCAAGCCAATTAAAATACTACTTTTTGGTGAAAAGGTCTAATTATTAAAAGTTACCAGTAGTAAAGTGTGTTTTAGGTATAAAACATTCTGCAAGTTTAACACTTTAAAAAAGGCTCACCTTTCAAACTCCCTTGTTTTGGTACATTCTTGGGCTCCTTTACTAATTACTATTAAGAAGTCTTGTGTTAAGACAAATGGCACACGCTCTCTTTTATAACCAAATTTTTTCTTCTTGTGATCAAGGAAGTGCCCAAAGTCAATGTGAAACAGCTTGGAAAGACAGAAAGGTATTTTTAAATTAGTAATTCCTTGTTTAAACGACGTCATAATAAAATTGATCAGTTACTTATAGTTGAAATGGATTTTTTTTTTTTTAAACCAACTCATCTCAAAGTGAGAGATGACACTAGGCTATGTTTGTAGAAAAACGTATCTTACTTGTCCATCATCTTTTACCATGATGTTACTATTGTGGCGATCACCAATGCCCAGTATAAAGGTAGCAACACAGTAGCCAGCGCAAGAACGTGTAAACAAGTCAATAGCTGCATCATACCTATTGAAAACAAAAAGAGAGATATTTTCCGACAGATATTCTAATAATACGAAAGTGCAGACATTTTTTTATCCCCTCCCCATTAAGGAAAGGCCAACCTCTACTATCTTCTCTCAGTGAAGCAGAGTTCATGGACTTCATCACTTTATCAGAGAAATTCAGCATACTCTGAAAACAGTAGTACTTACAGTTATATCATGGAACAGTAAACTGGCTATTAAAGTGACTGTCCCTCTTTTGAAGGTCAGCAGTTTTCATTCTGATGAGCTACTGTTAAAATACGGACTTAAGCCATATCTTCATAGTTCTACCTCCAACTTCTGCTCTACTGCTGAGAAGCGTCACAACCAAACTCACCAGAAGAGCTACAAGCAGGAATATTAGGCAAACAAGGGCAGGAAAACCAAACCAGAACAAAAACCACACCACACACACACAAAAAAAAAAATCTTAAAACCAGATAGACGTAATTTCCCACTTGATAAACTGTAGTTCTCTTGAAGTTTCCATCAAAAAGATCATGTGAACAAGAAAAACCAAGGGAACAGGAAGTCTCACATTTCTCCTTTGTTCTTGTCCTTGAGCCACTGATGCAATGTATGGCTGTTGAACTGCAGTGCTCCTTTTAAGCCTCCTTTACACTGAATCTGCATGATCGTATGAGAGCTCCTCACCACCTCAATGAGTCCCACACAGTCACCAATAGACAAACAACCATAAGGCAACATCCTGAAAGATGAAGGGTTGGTTTTGATGGTTTTTTTGTTTTGTTTTGTTTTTTGTTTGTTGTTTTTTTTTTTGTTTTTGTTACAGTTAAGTTTTAAGACAGCAAGCAACAGGCACATTTAATAATCCTTATCAGGTAAGTGTCATCTGTTACATTATGATATGAAAATCTGTTTTAATGTTTTATGGGTGTATTATTGTTAGTCCTGTGGAAAAAACATACCAGATATTAACACAGTAACATGCCAGCCACTGTATTTACCAACATCATTCTTCAGTTTTGTATCAGGACAAAAGCTTAAGGCAAAATTTTGTTAACATGTTCTTGGAGGCCTTGGGGAATATGCTGAAAAAAACCTTAAAAAAGGCATTCAGTATAATTTAACAAGATCTATTCAACTACATTCAAAGTTAAGTACCAGAAACAGAATTTAAGAATTCAGAAAATGGATGTTAAGATTTCATGGGTTACTGTAAAAAACTAGCAGGTAATACTTGGTATGTAAAACCAGCATGGGACCTTCAAAACTAGTTTCTGAATAATACCTAAATATATCACAAAATTGTACCTGTAATCTACAGTTAGCAACATTACAATTTATCCAGATGTTAATGGACTAACTGTAAAGAGGTGTTTATTCATGGACTCTGTAAAGAACATCATGAATCACTTTTTTTTAATCTGTAAGTGAAAGGATAATCTCCATAAAAAAAATCTGGGAGGGTCATATACCTAAAAGCAGCCCTCTTCTCTCGTCTCCTTTTCAGAGTGGAAGTGTCACACCTATAAAGTAACACTGGAGTATGATGATTTTTTTCTGTGATGCCATAGTAAAAAAACCCCAAAAAACAATGTTTTTTGTTGTTTTTTAACCTATGGAACACCAGTGCAGAGCTGACTGCTGGTGTTGCTGCGGAGGTGGGCTTCTCTCTAGATTAACAGCACTTTATTTGCAGGTACTAAAAGTATATTTGTATCTACACTTGCATTTTTAAATAAAAGTCTGATTTGGAGGTCAAAGGAAAACAGTGAAGTACATCTATTTTCTTTAGGAGGTGGCATAAACTCTGGACTGTTAGACTTTCTGTACCAGAGACATACAGTTTAGTGGCCTTAGTGGGATAAGTCGCAATTTCTAGTAACTCTGCTAACCATTCTTGGACAAAGCCATAATTCCATCACTCATTACAGTCACAGAGACAAAGCAGTCGCCCAGATGCATGAGAGATGAGGTAGACCAATAGGTCCTTTCATCTAGACGATGAGGAAATAAGAACTGGTAGTGCAAAGAGCATACTTGATTTGACAGTGCCGAGGCAGCTCTGTTATGCTGCCACTTAAAAATCCACCATGCAGCAAACACGTATTTTTAAGTGCAACCTGTCTAGCATCAGTTTTCTAGAAGCAGAATAGTTTACACTGAATGACATTCTGCAGAAGCTCCTGTAGCCCACAGAGTATTTAGAGGTGGAGAAGCCGCATGCATATCGGACTGGGTAGTACCTATTTTGTGTACTGAAGTGAAGATACCAACTACAAAGAGTCATTGCTCAACAGGGCTGCAAGTTTGGCAATTTGTTGAAAGCAAATCCTACAGATACCATCGGTAGACTGTAGTGGGGCTGGTGCGTGTTAGCTCCTGTAGCCATTCCTGCTATGTATATCCCTCATACCCACTTGAATGAGACTTAAGTATTTTCCAAATACAATTGTATCTTTACAGAATCCAGACGTTTAGCTAACTGAAGGCTATTAAACAAGATAAATTAAAAAAAAAAAAAAAATTGCTCTAACATGTACAAACATAACTATTTATAGCATTTCATTTGTTACCCCTGGGAGAACAATCCCTGGCAACTAACCTATGCAAAGCCCGTTAAGAACAGTATTGCTTGAGAATGACCTCTAGTGCTTACCGAAGATCAAGACCCTGATTTTGCCAGATGTTTTCCATAATTCTAATTATCTGAAGTGTCAGCATGTCCTGACGCAAGTCTGGAATAGTCAAATACATAGAGATTGCAAATTTCATAACACCAGAACACTTCATTACATCTTATTTTACTTTTCCCCCCAAAAAGTATGTCCTAAGGAAATGAGGCTTGCATAGTTAGGTTTTGTTCTTTCAGAGAGAAAAGCAGATTTTAAGTAGCTGAGAATTAATATAAGTTTGTGGTGGTGATTTCAAAGCAGTTTAAAAATATACACTAAAAACATGACAATGGAATTACAGAGTACACATCTGCAATATCTTAAAGAGGTTTTCAAGTTAAAAAAACAAAGTATTAAATAATATCATGTTCCACCTCAGACTGAGCATGGTAGACCATAAAAAATTTGTACATGGCTGAGATGAATACTTATTTGTGCATGCTTAATTTTTCTGGTAAAGAAAATTGCTTTGCTCAAATAATATTTTTTTTTTCCAAGCTATGTATTTTATATGCTTAGAGAGAATACTAAACAGTTGGTTAAGAAAATAAACAGATACGTAGCTTTTGGATTACACTTATTTTTCCTTACCGTCTCCATTTTTAAATATTATCTCATTGTTTTGAAATAATAATTCAGACATAATATCTGGGTTTTCCCAGTTCAACCACAGGGGCCTTTTTGCAGATGACATTATCCTGCACTCCTCAAGCCTATAAAAGAGATAAGGTTTCTATGAAATAAGCACAATTTGATTCTCATACCATGTTTCTGTAATACTAAATTCTCCCTGTTTTATTCAAACTCTTTGAAGTAGTATCAAATTAAAGATGCGTGGGTAACCAGCAGTCAACCACTTCTACTTTCAGCTTCAAACTTCCTAATTTAAGTGTAGTGTTAACCATTTGCTAATCCCAACAGAAAAACTGGCAACATTGTAAATTATCCTCTGGCTGAGTACTTCCTTACAAATGGAGAAAGGACTGCAGTTTCTGTCACTTAAACTAACTGCCCTCATGTTATTCCCCAATTTGTTAAACCGTTAGATTGAAACTACTTCAACTCTTCATTAATTACTCTGCTATAAATATTATTCTGTTATCTTTGAAGATACTAACATTTAAGTATGTTAACATTACTAAGCATTTATTTAAATATCTAGACAAGCTTCAAAACTGAAGACAATACCGAAGATTTCCCAGTTGATGTGCAGGATTAAGAGGAGAGATAAAACCTTGTAAAGCATCCATAAAATCTGGCCGTCTCATTTGTTCAACAAGAAACTTCATCTGTACCTGATAAATAATCACATTCAGGTTTTGAGAACACTAACTACATGCAAATGAAAGCAAGTATCAGGTTTTAGCTTTGGTTTTAAGGTGTGGTTTTACACAGTTCCAACAAACAACTGCTTAGCCACATATTACACAAATTGAAACCCTTAATGTTAGGTTCTATTGCCTTAAGAGGCCGACAATGGCGATGAACACAGAAAATATTACAGATTCTAGGATAACATACTGTCTACTGAAGTTAGCATTCTTTCTTAGTTAATAAAATTGAACACAGTTCTAAGTAATTCCCGCAACTCAAAAGCAACAGTTTTGGTATGTGGACAGCTTATAATACCTTTTGGGTCTCATCTTTTTTTTCCTGCTTGAGAATATCTGTGAGGTTAATCAACTTCTCCATAGCCTCCACCTGCCTGCTCAGATGCTTCAGGTACATTCCACATGCCCGACAATAGGACTCCAGAAGCAAACCAAACCTCTGACTTACAGTTTTATTGTGCATTTCAGACCTACACAGAGAGAAAGAACAGTTATAGCTTAAAGACAAGACCACTCAGAGGTGACAAAAATTAAGGTATACCTGTACCATCATCCTGAGGGCTGCTTATGGATCCCCCTTTTCATATAAACTTGTATTGACCTCCCAAAACTCATCCCATTTTGACTGGACTGATCAGACATCAGTACCTTTTACAACTAATTCAGCACAGAGTTTATAGGCTTTTACTCCATTCCTTCTTGCTCCACCTTGTCCTTTTCTACCCCTTGGCCTTTATTCAAAATCCATGCTTCCCAGAAACTCTGTTGTAAACCTCAAGCTTCCAACTCAAGTTCCAGATTCTCTGCTAAGAGAAAAGCTAACCTGTTTCATTTTCTCCTTGTCTCACTTAGCCAATCCCAGGCTGTGGCCCCTCTAGCTTCCTTGTTCTTATCTACTCAGTCTTCGCACAGTCCGAAAATACATCCACTCCGACAAGTTAATGAAGCAACTTACTCCATTATGCCTGATGATTACCAAGGGAAGTAGAAAACAAAGCACAACAAAGATTCCTTGATTCTATTTCTGTGTCTGATCACACTACCTCAGAACAGCATTTTTAGGCAAGATCTAGCTACAAACCAGTATGTTGTAGGCCAATTTATGCTCAGCTTTCTCAACACCAGAAATCACAAAAACCCAGTCAAAAAAGCTGGTCAAATTGGGTGCCTTTCTTTAGGCCTTAACTATTTGTAAACATTTTCTGGAAAAGACCAGTGGGGGATCTGGTATACAGAACAAAGTTCAAACAGCAGAAATCTGTCAAAGTTGTAAACAGCTAAAATAAGGGAGGCTTCCAGCAATCAGACTACCCTGGCTTTTAGAATAATCATCATTAGATAAAAAGAAGTGCAAGACTAAGTATCTATTATTAACTAGCTTTTAACACTGCCAAGTATGACTTCTATTACCAAACCACGCATTCAAACTCTTAACCAATATGAAACAAACTTTAACTGGTAATATTTTCCTAAAAAAGGACATTTAGTATGCCAAGCCTTTAGAACAACTGATTGTTTATAGCTAATAGGAATCCCACCACCCCTTAACATGATATTACGCTTACTTTAAATGCCAAAAGAAGAAATGTCCTATCCTTTGATTGGTCAGTGCCTTCTTGAGTAAAAATCTCACAAGCTGATTATCTAAATACTGTTCATATTTCAGAACCTAGTTAAGGATAAAGTGAAAAAAGTATCAGCTGCAGTTATTTCTGTGAACAATATACATATTAAAGGCAGTTAAATAAATAGCAATCTGTTTTAAACTAAATTTTGTAGAATGACTGATCTTGGTATTAATACTTGCAAGTGCTAGGATTTGAACAATAGCTACTAACAGTATACTGGCTGCCTCTATTTTAGGAACTTACCATCTGATGCTTCCTTTACTGTTATCAAATATTTTAGACTCAACTTGCCCAAAATTTTGAGAAGATGCTTCCTCTCATATTTTCCCATATGTTAGGACAGCTGAAATAGCTGCCTGTTCCAGTTGGTAGAACAGTTTTGCATCTCTGCAAAATTTTGACATTTAATATCAACAAGCAAAACCACAGCACTACAGAAAATGAACTACATTTCATCTCCTCCTATTAAATAATCCCCAATGCAAAGATACTTTTGACGACCTCTTTTTCATATCGTCTTAATTTTTGTCATATTTTAAGCCTCTGATCAAAGATACACAAGTCATCAAGCATACCAAAACGTGTTATATACCTGTACTAGCTGGATTAAGTACTGAGACAGTTTGTCATCTGTCAAGTACTTCTCTAGACACCGAACTGCAAAAGCTCGCACCATTGGATCTGGATAATTACAGTCCAAAAGCTCCATTGCTTGCTCTGGCTTGATCGGAGGCCAATCTTTTACCAAACAGTACATCTGTGGACAGGAAGTCTAAGCACGTTACACATTTGCATTGATTAAGAAGAAGTTGTAATACACAGCTGTTAAAATGTATCGACAAGAAACAAACAGCATCTGAGTAGAAGCCATTTACGCGCCAGTCCTTTCAATTTGGTTTTAGTTGCCAGCTGACTATTATTTTACCCACTATAAAAAGAACGAAAACAAAACCTCACATTTAACTAAATTGACAAGTCAGCAGCTTAACAAGGATTCAAATAATGCCACCAAGAGGAAATTTTAAAGACTCAGGCTGAGCTAAAAACCAAGAACTATGGACCAGACTGATCAATCAATTATAATGGCAAACTGAATCATCAAAGCTTTCGTTCAATGTATCATGCACACAGAATGTGTTTTTAGCTTCAGAAGTTTTCTTTAAAATAGCAGATTTTAAAGCTTCTTCAAAATTTAAAACCAATTCAGTGCTATATGTTACCTGAGCCACTTCATCTCTAGAATTCCATTTAACAGACAAAAGTAATTTGGGCAGAATTTCTGGAGTATTCACACAATAATGTCTGCAAAAGAAAAAAAAGTTGTATGCACCAGATGTACTTTTCGCTTCTATAACCATCAACTATGTCCTCTCAATCTTGTGCCTTTTTCTTCCTTTGTCAGCAGAATCCAATCAATACCATAAGGTGGTGTCAGGATCCATGCATGAAGGTAAGGCTGCAGTAATTGGGAAAACGTATAACTACTTCAATAACTTATTTTTCTCCACGGGCTTATTCACCAAGACATACAATGCAGAACGCTTTAAAAGCCTTTTCTAAAGCACTAACCCCAACAATACAGAAGAAAGTAGAAGGAGTAAAACCCAAGACAATCGTGACAAATTTGGAGTGAATGAAGTAAAGTCTGATTGTGACAAAAACGGTTTTAATTTGGTTTGGTTTTTGTTTTTAAATACCTGTGACTCCAGAGGAAGTCCTTCTCTTGCTCAGTGATTTCAGATAAAGGATCTCGTGTACATATGGCTCGAAGTTGCTCCTTGTCACTTTCTCTTAATTCGTTATCTCTAGCTATTCTGTTACTCTGCAGAGAGAAAGTGGTCCATTAACCCTCCACACATTTCCTTCCATTGTCGTACAACATACATGGAATATTTTAACAGCATAGCAACACTTATAGCCTATGTCATGCAACAGTATTTTGTTTCCTTTTGTTATAACTGCAGACTTCAGTTTGAAAAGAGAGATATGAAAGACTAGACCTTTGATTTCTACAGTGGCTTTTAGTCACTACTGGGACAAGAAGAGGTACACTTCAACTACATCAGCTGTGTGGGGGTATAACAGCAGTTTACATCTGACCAACAATGTAATGCAGCTCAAAATTAAATTGGTCATTTCTGTCTCCAGTTTGGAGATTGCTGAGAGCTACTGAAAGGAGTGAAGAAGAATCAGAACTGAAAAAGCAAATTATGGGGGATGAAGCTAGGTAAATAAAAGGTAGAACACTGTAGGAAAGCCCGAGTAACACAAAGACTGGAAAACTTTAACCAGAATTAGTGTAAGATATTCCCCAGAGAGCACTGAAGACAGAACTGGTACATGCTGAAATTATTTTATTTATGACTTCATTTATTAGAACCAGCTTAGACCAATGGCAGAGGTATTGAAACTACTACTACTACTTGATTTTTCACAGCTCATGTGCCAAATTAAGTTTTTCTCCTATACTTTCCATTTCTTAGTTAATATGTTTTTCGCAAAGCAACATACAAAATGATGTAATTTGAGTTTCAACTATAGAATAAGTTGCACTGCAAAAAAGAGAAATCTTAAGAAGCTTTTACTACTGCCTTTAGTATAAAACTGTAATAAACAAGTTTGACACCTAGGAGGAAGCTATCCCCAAAATTTTGCAAGAGTTTAACAGTGCTTTTAAAGTGAACTTACATTTTCACACCTGCATGATACCTACTACTACAAAAGAATAAGATCGACTCTTCAAGATCAAATTGTTTAAATGGTAGAGTCACAGTGTTTGACCTCTTGTTCTGCTCTTTCCCTAGGCAATTTCTAATGAGCATATTAAACAAGATAACAAGCAAAAACAAACTGAGCTTTGTCCGCCAGTTTTGTTGACAGAAATTTTCAACCGGCTGAACTAGTAATACTTCAAAACAGAAATACCTACATGTCTTTCACAGAAAGTCTTTACAATGCATTTGGCTTAAAAAAAAGCTGAAGAACAATCTGAAATTTCCAGGTAGTAGATCAAGGCACCCTTTAAAAGGTGAAGTGGTATTATTTCTAAGAATATGCATAAATACAGAAATCGTTGTCAGGTTATATCACATTTTATCTACTTCAGACTTAAGGTTCTTTACCTCCATCTTCACATAAATTATGTGTTCTCATGATAGATTCACTACTATTACATGGTAGAAGAGTATTCTGGCCTTCAATCTTACATCTACCAATATTAAGGTATGAATCAACCAACTCACAGGATTTTTAGTACTTTACTCTGTCAGTAGTGTAAGAACTTAGTGCACCAACTTTTTTATTACCGTTCTGAAGCACATGGGCTGGACTTAAAATTGGGAAGGAATTATTTAGGACTACTAAGTGGCACAGGAAAATTTCTAGAACACATTCTTAAATATGGTAATGGATACAGTGCAAGTAGCAAAGCCAGAGTCATTCTGTAAGTAAGTTAATGGATAAGTGACTTTATAATCACCCTACTCCTGATATAAGATCAAATAGTTGATATTGAACAAGTGATTAATTGTACATATTCATCTTGATTCCAAAGAGTCATCCTAAAGAGTAACTTAAAGTCAAAAAAGTGTAAAATGTACCTGCATAGTGGGTCAGAAAGATCATAGTTTAGGTCAAGCCCAGAAGGAAAATGCATTTATCCTGTTGCGGTCAACACCAAAAACTTGAAATTCTATGAATTGTGGGACAGTAAATTAGATTTAATATTTGAAAAGTCCTTCATATTTGAGATATTAATGGACCTACAAATGATCTCTTATGAGTATGTATGAATTGATTTTAAATGCAGTGTAATGCATTTCAAGGTTAAACAAAAAAGTTATGTTCTTCGTATCCTAACAAAAACATTTCTATATAAATCATATCTCAGTGCCTTTTCTGATTTTGACCATTTCAGATAAGCACTTTTTACCTTTTTCAGATATGGCCAATGCTACACAGTAATTTAAGTATGAATTTTGAATGAGCAACAACGCGTAGTCTTTATTTCCCTAAATATAATTAATATTACAAACAGCTATAAATATGCACAGTACCTGAATACAAAAAATTTTACTTCAGACCTGAAGATATCACACATTAAAAGATAAAGGGAACAAATACAATGTGAAGAGATAACAGTAATGTTCAAACTTAGCAAGCATTTAATGAAACATAATTTAAGAAAGGATAAATAACACAAGGACTTTGTCAGACAACAAGGAGGACAAAGAAAAGCAGCATAAATAATGACAAAGAGACCCCAAAGCAGTGATACGGTTTGTTTCCCTGTCAATCTAGTCATTAATGTAAATAGGCTTTCTCCATATTTAACTGCTATGACCACCTTCTACAATATTGTAAGGATTATCACAAAAAAATCCCCCACAATAATTAGACTTTATTCTACTTCAGATTTTTTTTTTTTTTTTAATGGCAATGTGTAAATCGATCACTACTTTGTCACTGAACTAAGAGCTTATTCTCCTCATGATTTTCTATTTTTGCCTACAGACGGAACCAAATAATGAGTTGAGTATATATAAGCCCAGGTAATAGGCTGTGTTATAGCAAAGGAGTGTTAGTTACCAAGAAGCCGGCTGTCCTTAAGCACTTAAGAGCCCCTGCAGCATCGCTGAGTCACAATACATATCATAAGCAGATACACCACCCTGATGGACTTCCCATAGAGTACCAAGAGAAATCAAATCCCTACAACCCTTTGGTTCAAGATATGTTGAAATGGGACAGTTACAAATATCACCAGAATTCCCGAACTGGAAGCTTACTGACACCTACGCACTTTTTGGCACAGCGAAACTTTCCAACCCAGGACTCTTCTTCACACAGACCACAAAGCTGTCTTAGGGAAGCTCTCAAGTCTTTGAACCAGCCTCCAAAAGATGATGTAAAACATACCAACTGAATTCACAGCCTTGCTTTTAAAACACATACCATTTTAGCTTTACTGCTTTTATTTTTTTTCTCCTTTTAGTCATCCAAAATGGGCTTTTAAGAAAGCTCCAAACCTCACCAAAAAGCCAATTATCAACACACAGATTTTCTTCATGTAAGAGAGGAGATAAAGGACCACACTCATGTATACGTCAATCAATTCCCTTAGAACTCCCTGTACTTCTGGTCATTACTAGTCCATTAAACAGCCAGTAAAGAGTTGCAAGCACCTTCAGGTTACAGAAGAAAGCCTACCTGTAGACATGAAATTGCAACAAAATAAAACAGTATCATTGAAGGAGAATTACAACTTTTGAGAAGTTAAACGAAGTAGTTTAGACATCTGAATTAGTGCTATAAAAATGTCAGAGGCTCTAACAGTTTTCATAGTAAGACAGTATCTCTTTAAAGTGTTTTGGTTGGTCAGTGAAGCATTATGTCAGTTTACTGGTAATATAAAGAAATGAGAATATACTACTTTGCTAAACATGAAACAAAAAATTGATTTCTCACTTTTACAATAGATCAGTATACATAAAAAAAGCTGTCTTTATCAGTAATATACTGAGTAAAACAAATAATACTTTTGTATTTTAGTAGCTAATCTTGGAAGGGGAGTTTGTCTTACCAGCCCTGCATAGCTGTAGTTAAAGCCCAATTCCCGTGATATAGTCCAGTTGGCATGTTCTTCGATCACTGTCATATCTGGAAACTTTACAGGATTGCTAAACCAGTCAAATTCCAGCTCTAAACATGGAGTTTCCTATATAAAGGGAATTGAAATTACTTTTTCTGTTGAATTATACTAATTACAATACAGCATATTTTGAAAATGTTCTCCTGAAGAGGAAACTGGCATGCAAATACTTACCTTATTTGGATTTGATCCAGTAACACCAATAGGATTTAACAAATCCTCCAGCCCATGAGGTACTGCCCAAAGATTCAAAGCCATTTTCCCAGATACAAGAGTGTCTGTGTAATCAAACATGTTTATATTTCCCCAAGCCAATGGGCAGTGCTCCTTAAAGAGATTAAAACATGATTTCAGTGTCATCTATTAATTATTGCAGTGTGAGTCAGCAGAAATAATGTTTTCACCCCAGAGCAAGCTGTTACGAAGCAGGTTGTGGAAGCTGCATCATATTTTTCTATGATTGACTGTTATGGCAGTCATTTTGCAGAATGGTATCAAAACACTTGCAAACACACACTAACATTTTCATCATCTTGAGTTATTTTGAGGTGGGGGAGGGAGGTTTTTTTAACAGATAGAGACTTTTTACTACGGTTTGTAGTGACAGAACAAAGAGCAACAGTTTCAAACTGTAAGAGAATGGATTTAGACTGGACATAAGAAAATTTTTTTTAGTTTAAGGGTGGTGAGACACTGGAATAGGTTGCCCAGAGTAGTTGTGGATGCCCCATCATTGGAAGTGTTCGAGGTCAGGTTAAGTAGGACACTGAGCAACCTCGTCTAGTGAAAGATGTCCCTGCCCATAGCAGGGGTGTTCGAACTAGATGATCTTTCAGGTCCCTTCCAACCCAAACCATTCTGTGATTCTGTAAGATTCGTAAACCTGTTTGTAGACAAAAGACTATATAGTACCTGTGACACACACTCAAACCCAGACTTTAATAATGCCAGTGGCTAGAATTACATGACATGTGTAGATACTTAAAAATTACTATTTAGGATCTTGCATCAAATGTTAAAGCAGCACAAATTTTATTTACTTTAAAAGTCAACTCTTAATTCAAGTATAAATATTTCCCCTTTTTAATAAGGAACTTGAGTTTTAAGGCACCTGCACCTCAAAAGACTAACACTGATCTTCGTGTCTGGCAATACAGTACAGACACTATTTACAGCACTGAATGGATAAAGCTTTTTGCCATGTTGTTTAATTTCTGACTGCAGAAAAGTGGTAGTCTGAACTAGATAGAAGAAAAGAAAACCCCCTATTTTAATCAGATTCAAATCAAACATTTGACTAAGACTCATTGCTAGGACAGCATTTACCAAATATCTTCCCAAACTTAAGTAGCTCTTGTTCATTAGTGTATTAGAGCCATGAAGTATTTCACCTCTTTAGCACCCTTCCGGCCTTTAACGGAACAGATGGAAAGGCAGAGCCGAGCAGCACGTGGAAGATCAGGGATGTACATGTCATACAACAGCCATTCATTCCATCTGTAAGATTTAAAATGCAGAATAAAGCTAGGTTAAAGAACAGTGTGGAGACAACTGCTATCAATTAACAGATACACTAAAAAGCATGTTATATTCCTACGTAAACTGTGTATGTGCATAAGGAGTACACTTACTTACTGAAGAAGGGTCCTCCTACATGCATTTGACCACATCTACTCCTTTTGGGAACAGAAGCTTCCCAATTAGCCTTTTAGCACCAACACAGTTTAAGAAGTCCTGCTAGGTTCAATTCCTGTAAACTCAGTAACAGATTCATTCACTTTCACTCTTGCAAACCTACTGACTGCAACTGTCACCATAGGTATAACACAAAGATGATGGATTTGCATATGTGCTACACTAATGTAAGGTTTAGCTTGTGAAATATTTTGCATTTCAGCAAAAAAAAAGCAAGTGTGGAAAAAATGTTGCACAGCTTTCAGACCTCAACTAAACTTGAACTGCTAGAAAATAAAGAGATAACTGCAAGACGGGAGTGTAACACAGAAATCCAAAACAATATTCCTAACTCAGATATTATTCTATTTACCACAGTAATAAGAGCACAGATTGGTTTTACAGGAATAAATAAGTTAATGAAAACAAAATGTGTAAGTAGACTATCACCCAATTGGCAGAACTGTGCTCTTTAAGAAAAACTTCTGAATACAGTTTATTTTAAGCGGATTGCAACGCTGAATTTTCCCAGTTGGAAGAGGCAGCAGCTTCCAAGGACAGCATTAATATTTCAGCGTGTCTGTAGCTACTGAAAGCAGAGCTTTACAAATAACTGTCCAAGTCATTCTCTAAGAACAAATAAACTGGCAGAAAAAATTTAATTCACTTCTCTTATGTGTTCATTTCATATAATACATATCTGTGTGATAATACCCATGTTTTTAAGTCACACCCTTCACCACCTTTCCAAGATTTTCCCTAAACCAGCTGAAGTATCAGTTCAAATACAGATATCTTTGGCGAAACTCAGAGGGATAAGCTATTTTTCAGTAACTGCATATATTATTAGACCCTCTAATTATAAAACAATCATATCAATAGCATATGTACAGACAAAAAATATTAATACCTTTTGAAACTTTCAAAGACATGAAGTCAGACAGAAGATGCAAGTCAAGAATTACTTCTGAGCACATAACTGTATCTTATCCTAGCAGATGCTGAAATTTCACGTCCTCATTAGTCAATGTTACAGACAGATATTCAATGTGTTTCAGATAATTTTTCTCAATATGTTTATATATTCCATATAAAGCTTCTTTTTGCACACTAATGGCATTTTTAAAGTTCATGTGATTTATTTTTCCAGATAATATTCATAGTAGGTCCAATCTCCTGAAAATAATCAGCTCAGAGCTGTCAGTGATTTCCATGTTAAAAAAAACGATACCCATCTCTCCATACTCAGTGGTTCTGCTTTAGTACACACTATACATCCCATAGCCTCATGCTGAAGGTGAAATCTGAACCTGCACCTGAAACACCTGCTATTGATCCACAGTCAAAAGCAGAGATCAGTCTCCCAGAGCAATGCTGATTTCAGAGTATTAATGAACAATTACATTGGAGTTTCAGAAGCAACCACAAATGTAAAACAGATCTGTTCAGTAAAAAAAACTACACTGTTAGGTGCAATGAGACAAAATACTTCTTTCTGAATTAAATTAATTCTCTTTATAAATATAGGGTAAGTTAAAAATGTTCTTACAAAACTTAAGGCAGAGAATTCCCAACAAGGAGTTCTACCTGAATAATGGCTAAATCAAGCCTTTACTCCTTCAGCACTATCACCTATGATGCCCTGGAAGTCACGTTCTCAAAATCATTCAAGCACTTAGCTTACCTGGGATTAGAACAAGGTACCCTTTGAGTATTCACATTGTCACACAAAGGTTCCCCTCCATGGTAGATACCTGTTCTAACATAGATCTGAAGATAATGTTGATATTAGTACTATCTTTGAAATGTTACTGTAAAATTTTTTCACTGCCATCAACATATACTATGATTACAACATATTCCCCTCTAATTTCCATCAAGTAAAAAACTAAACTGAAAACCAAACAGCACCAGCACCCCCCAACTAAATTCATTCATGCTCTGCAAGGTGAGAAGCATAGTGTATATATAAGCATACACTTCTAGAAAAAAAATGGTCTTTTTCCCTCATTAATTACAAAAATAGTTCTTAAAAATACAGTAATAAACTTGAAATGAACTCTAAAACCAACTGGGATTTATTTTCAATTCTTCCTGTGCCGAGCTGTAATGAAGGAAAAGACCAAACAAATTCTGAAAAAGTTACAAGAGCCAGACTTGTAGTATTACTTAAATGGAATGGAACCCTACCTGCCTTTTCTCCTTTTTCTTCCCATACCTCCCCTTTTTTTTTTAAAAACCACAATAGCAGCACACTATCCAGCATCCTCTCATCAAAAGTATTCCCAGTTGCTGTTAATACAATCTTAGACATAATAATTACTCAGAATACAAAAATCAACATGGGTTTTGTTCTTCTATCCATTACACTCTCAGCTGAACTAAACAGAGTTCTGCTTCTATTAGGCAGAATATTTAGCTACATACCACAACTCACACTTTTTTAGTAGTACACAGAAGTCTCCAGATGCTAAAACACAGCTGTATTGTTTAGAATTAAGTGATTAACTTTAAACAAAGTGGTCTAGCTTTCTAACATGTTAAGTAACACCTCCTTTCCAGTGTAAACACAGAACAGAAGACACATGAGGGAAACCATGAGTTACTGAAAGCCATATACAATACCATACAGCATTTGACTTACCTTGTCTATGTCCCTGATGTTCACATTTACATAGGTTGCACAGAGGATCCTTATTCTGAGGGCACTGTTTATAGTCCAGAGGGATTTGGCTGTAGCTTCTCCATTCATGTAGGGTGTAGCTGTAGAGATACGTCTGGAGTAAGATGGCATTGTAAAGGTGTCCAGTGGTAGCTGGGTATATAGGCTTTCCTTAGCCATCAGCATCAGATTGGGCATGCGACCAAGCATTATACAGCTTCTTATATACTGCAAGAAAACAAAACCAAAAGTCAGTATGTTCTCAAAGTGTACACTCTTGGTAATCTGTACCTAAAAGCAGTCAGGAAAATATAAAAGTGAGAGTATATTTAAAGAGCTTTTGTCCCTATACATACACTCTTTAGTGTTTAAAGTTCATCCAACAGTTTAAGTATGTTGTTGGGTAGGATTATACAATAGTGCTTCATACAGATTTTGAGATATGAATAACATCTACAAGAGTGGAAGGTTGAACTGGAGGACAGAGAACAGAGCTGAGAAAATGACAATCACGTTTTCTCGTAGTGCTCCTTAGCTCCAGCACAGTGCAGCACAAACAAGGCAGACTGCTTCCAGATTAGAGCTGTTCCTGGAAGCAGCTGAGCTGTTTTTGCTTACAGTGCTACTGTACTAGTCTGCTGTGCAAACCTAGCATGTGTGACACGGATACTCCCAGTCACACGCAGAGAGCACGGGACAAATGGAAGACACTCGTTTTTGGCTCAGTTATGCTTACTACCTGACAATCAGCACTGATGCCGACAGACTCTAGCTGTAAAACTGTATGGTGTACATTCAGGACTGGGTTCTGAGAGTGTTTAGTCTAGCAAGAGTACCACAAAATACAATGTGTTAAGACAGGTCCAGCCCTGAAGTGTAATTAGCAAGCTCTTTTGTGGCACAGTAAAGGCATAGAAGATACTTCTGAAGAACCCACGCTAGATGAAATAGGTCTACTGTTTGATCTCTAGATGACTGTGCAAATTTATTGATGTATGCCTGCACTTGTTCCTCAGCTCCCACAGAACAGAGCTGCTTTTCCCATTATTCAGAATCCCCCAGCCCCCTTCTCTCTCCCACTCCTCTGGAGATCAGATTGTCAACCATTTTAGGTGAAGGAATGGAAGCTGTTTATTACAACAATACATTCCTCAAAGAGGAAGCAGCAGCAGTCTGTCAGGAAATCTACAGGGTAACATTGTTGTCTGCTCCAGAAAGGGCTTCTCAGATGCTCTGCTGTCAGCAGTTCTGTCTCACAGTCGCAGCACTAACAAAACCCAGGCAATGAAGGACAGAGCTACAAGGAAGGTTTAACAGTAATTTATGTAGTGCTGGAAGTTTATTGCTCCTTTAATAAGATAAAAAAAATGTAAAAGATGTAACAGGAAATAAATAGTTTAGATTTTTTCCACCCCTAAAGGGGAAAAAGGCAAGATTCATAGTAGCAATGATTGCCTCAATTTAACATCTGATTGAATTTCCTTTTGTGTTACATCAACCTCCCTCAAGCATACCTCACCTCTTCCCATAAGAAACCTAGAATATTTCTGGAAGTACCTACCACTGATACACTACTAACGTCAGAGGCAAACTACTTCATTCAAAGAAGAAAAATTACACTAGTGACAAATTCTTTTGAAGCACATACAGCAACAAATATGCACACTACACTCATGCATTAGCCAATTAAAGATGCATACAATTAATTCCTATGTTCTGGATTAATCTCATGAAGAAGCAAGCCAGTGATAAAATTGATCGCTTTCTCCCTCACAAATTTGTATTATTTTAGTGTATTTCAAAACAAATCCATTATGTTACTCACCTTATACTGGCTCAGGGGATATTTTTCTAGCAAGTATTCGTCACAGCCACACACTTTTAAAATATATTTGCCTTGGTACTCCAAGACACAAAGTTTAAGTTGTTCAGATGATAGCAACATACTTCGTGTTTTCTTCCTAATTGCTTCAGCAATAACTTGCTCAGGCACACAGTCATGATTTATTTTTAAGGTGTATTTCTGCTTATCATTGTTCGGTGAGACTATTACCCATATCACCACTATAATTTGCCCTAGAATAAATGTAAAATAATGTTAGGCCTATCATTTTCAATACCATTTCAAAACAAAACAAACCAACCCAAAAAACCCAAACAAACAGCCCCCACTTCCCCGCCTCCCCCACTAAAGAGAATTGCTTCCAGTACTACTGGAAGATGAAGACAAGATTCACAGCCCAAATTGACAGAGGGTTTCCAATTTCTGCAAGGAACTATATGTGCTCAGTTTGTTTGACTCTATTGTAAAACTTTTACACCTTGATGTTAAGAATATTCTTATCAACTGAATCCTACAATTTAACCTTCAAGAAAACAGCATTAACTGGACTTTGAGGATTGCAAGGTAACTCAATGATTTGGCACCATTTAATTCCAGATTTCTGAATGCCTGAGAAAAAAATGCAAAGCCAACAAGCTGTTTCTGCCCCTTAAAAAAAATTACCTCTATTTACTGTTACATTTCAAGATTTAGTTACTAAAAAAATAAATGTAACTGTTACTGTCTTTCTTTTGAATCTACATCAAGTTGTTCTGATTAACTAAAGGTGTAAGATATTACTAGTGTAGTACATATAGTACATAAAACAGTGATTTACCTAAGTCACCAGCTGTACTCTGATTTCAATCACTGAAAAAACCCACTGTATTTCTACTGTAAATATTTCTCTTACCTTTATCTAGTTTATTGTATATGTGTTTGGGTAGCTCCGGTGAAGACTCTACATTTGGAGGACAGACATATAATGCTCTACTATGTGGTGCGTTGGCATCTCGAAGATCCACTGCTTCTTTACAAACATTAAGAATGTTTCTTCTGAAGTCTTGTACTTCTGGATCCTTAACCATGTCAAATTCACAGACAGGCATGCCAATAGCAAAACCTACATTATTGAAAAAGCATGAGGAAATAATTGTAACTGCTAAGTAAAGCTGAAGATTCCTTTAAAGTGACAGAAAAAGCATGCTTTAAGCAAACACAATCTAAAATACACGTGTTAACCACTGGCTTCTACTTGTGTACATAATTGTTTATTTCATTCGAGAACAATTCATTTCTACAGTTAAGTGCAAGACAGGTGTATATACACTGAAGATCCTGAAAGCCTTAAATCACCACTCACAGCTAACACTCCTTCTGGAGGAAAAGGACCAGTAATAAAACTTCCTTTGAAGTCAGCACAAAGTCTCGTAAGTGTACCAGAAGAGCAGTGGTGTCCAACTTTTTCTAAAACCCTGGCAGGATTATTGGTAGCTATTAGGACCATAATCAACTTTGCTTACAACTGAATGACAGCTATTCAATTCTCCTGATTAATTACACTATTTAAAAATATGACAAGCACTCCAAGAGATATTGAACTTAGCTCTCTGGCATAGAATCACATAATAAGAGTCCATTTCTCTCAGGTCCTCTGTCTCAGATGTAATTCCATTTACTTTAATGAGATTACTTGAATAAATAATTATTTATGCATGAATGTTCAAATGGAAACTTTCAATTGTCCTGTTGAATGCCTGGCTAACCACTGTTCTCCCCAAGTCTTGAACAGGTTAAGCTTTACAAAATCGTAGTTTACCAATGATGTATTTGTAACAAATAATTTAATAATTAGGAGCACCCCAGAACAAGTATTTCCAGTCAACAAGTCTCTACCACTACAATGTTCATCTGTTAAGTAAAAGAGAGTAGGTAAGCTTGTACTGCTTGAATTTAGATACTCAACCTAGATGCTGAAACATATTCTAATCTCCCTGTGCTTTCTCAATGGATAATGGAAAATTATAAACTACTCCAGAGATTATTCGAAACATGACAAATTGTCGCCCCTGTGCCCCTCCAAACTCAATTATTTCCCTGCCCTCTCCATGCTCTTTTTGTAGGAAAGGGAAGAAAAAACACCTCATTTCTGAAATTTTATTTTCTAAGCAAGATAGAACATGTTTTAATGCTGTTCTATTGCAAGTGTGGTTTAAGATTTGTAATTAAATCCAGAATTTACAAATATGTAAACTTCAAAACAAATTAAGATTGACTTCCCAAACAACAGAACAGGCTTTGCTCTGTAATAATATGAAATCCTGCTAATAGACAAGCAAGAAAATACCCTCTAACCCACATACAAGTACAAATACATACAAAGCAAAGACTTTACATGTGAACGAAACAGAACCCCAAAAAAACTTTAATTCACAGTTTATGAATGTTCAGCATCTTTGGTCATTCCATGCAACAACTGACAGTTATGAAATGTGAGCTTTGACAATTACAGGAGAACAAACACAACCCATTTCAATTATTTGTTTTGTATTTTGAAGAGAAGCCAGTTAAAACAAATTAGCTACGTTTAAATACAGATCATCTCACCTATTTCTCTATTAAGAATCTTTTCTTCTCTGTTACCTACTGGTTCAATGACTTTTAGAAAAGGCTGAAATAGTCGCAGGTCACAAAGTCTCCGAGTTTCATCAAAAAATTCTTCTCTTTCTGCTTCTTGTGTAACACTTACAAAAATGTAAGATGATTCATCTTGAAGAAGCTGATAGAGAGGGTATTTTCTCGCTTCTTTAAAGAGTTCATGCTTAATAGTTAGTAAGGTGGCCTCACGGAGGCATTCTAGAGTCACTATCATTCCATTTGGGAGAAGACACTCCACAAGGATCCTCGGTGGCATCAAGTGGATGCCCCATAGTTCGCCAGATGATGGTCGTGGAGGCATTTTTAAGTCTTTAGATAGCTTTGTACTGAAAGTTTTTCAAGCAGTGATTTGTACACTTAAACCTAAGTAAAAATAAGAAATTTAAATATTAAATTTAAAATACGAACATCGCATGAAAGTTCAGATAAAATAATTCAAACACTACTTATAATTGTAGATGAATATTCACAGGTGTATTTTACATAAATTTAATAAAACTGATGTCTAAGGAATTTGTATTTGATTTAAATATCTACCCAAAACAGTTAATAGCAGATTCACATTAATTTAGAAAAAAATGCCAATACATATAAAGCCTTAAAAAAACCCAGAGAATTCATTTTTTTACCTAAAGTTGATAATTTATGACTAGAACACTTAAATAGCATGGGGGATGAAAACACCTAATATTCAAATTTTTATTATAACAATTTTAAAGTAAATCTCAAACTCAGTTCTTGACATTTTTAATCTGTAAACATTTATTATCATTTGGATGAGATACAAGCCATCAGCTCTGCTCAGTTTAGCCAAACCAACGCTTTTTTTTTTTTTTTTTAACTTTTCTCATCCCAAAAGTATTCATACACCACTAACATAATAGTTGTAAGTATTAGTAAAGCCTCTAAACTTCATTTTACGAATCCATGTTCACACAAAACTTATCTTTAGCTTTTTTACATCAGTATAAGCTACTTACACCAGCAACAAACCCTTTTTTCCATGAATGAGAAAGAAGAACTGAGCTCCATTAACACTTTTTGGCTGGGCTTGTTTTATTTAGAAAAAATTCCCTGTTCTAGTTCCCTTTGGCAGTCTCTGCCAAGCCAAAGGAAAGGAGGGGAACACGTGTTTGACCTTCTAGCAGTGCTGCCTTATGCCAGCTAAGAGCAGGTACAAAAAAAACCTCACAAAACCACAACAGTGTATCTGGACAGAGTAAAGATGTCTTATAGCCCAGTGGCCAAGAACAGATGCAGAAGAAAGAGCAGAAGAACTAGGCAGGCATGCAGTGACATCTCATCAATAAACTACTGTAATCACTACCTATTTTTAATTTCCCTAACCAGAGGCAATATTTACATATTTGTGAAAGAAATCCATCAAGAACTACTGAGTTTGTCCATTAAGTTTTCACACACATTGCTGGCATTCTGTGACAAGTGAAGAATATTCCATGATATAAAATACTTGCTTTTCTTCATTCTGAAGCCTGCTACTTTCACTTGATATACTACATTCCTTATAATTCCTTATAAAGTTCCTTACCTTTGCTTTCATTGCTCTTAATTTTAGAGAACCACCAAGTCCTCTCCACTACTTCTTTACCACAATAGTCCCACATTTAGTCCTCCGCCCAAGTCATTCTATATTTTTGTTATTCCTTGTCACCTTCTCTGTATCTTTTCCGCATTTACCATTCCATTTTGTAAGCCAGAGGAGGAACAGCCATATCTGCATACCACAATCAAGGTCCAAACTGACATAATATTTTCTATCGCTCTCCTAATTAATTGCTTTTCTGATTGTCACTAAGCAGCAAGGCATTTTCACTGAACTACATACCACAGACCTAAACTGTCATTGTAGAATACTAAGTTACTGCAAAGGCCACCATACATTATGCAAATCTCAGAGAGTGCATTATTTACACTTATCCCGTATGTCATTAACTTCAGCACAGACATTATGAGAGTGGGTAACAACAGACATCTAAAGAGCAGTACATCATCCATCATGCCTCCTACCATCAACCAAGAGTCCAAAAAGCACAGGGCTAGGATAACTACCACGCTACTATTCTAAAGCCACTCTTAGTTACCTTTTGAGTCAAGAAACCCCTCAGTTTCTTTTTCTTAATAACAGAAAGGAAGGAAAACCCCAAACAAGCAGCTTCACATCTCTTCTCTTTCAGCAGCTTTCTGAAAGCTCCCACTGTGGAAAAGCAATGAATGCTATGCTTGCCCTTTGCTCAGCAATTTTTAAAATATGTATTTATATAAAAATATATATAGAATTATAAATACGTAAAAAATATACATGTAAAAACCCAAAGCCATGATCCTCATTTCTGCAACTGTATGCTTTGGTACTTATTTTCTGGGAAGTTTTCTTCCAAGTACATCCAGTACCTGCTTTTGCCACACTTCAGTTCTTAAAAAGAAGCATTAGAATGAAAATGATGTTTTCACAAATCTACTGCTTCCTAACCAACTGTGAGAAGCAATAGGGTTGTCTTTTTTTTAATCCCTCCTTTGTAGCTGCAGTTTGGGCTTTTACAAATATCAACCAAAGTAATGAAGTGCCACTGCAGGTTTAGAAAAATGCTTTTCCACTAACACCTCATACATATTTAGAAGGGCTTTGCAACTGACTTTTTAAAAAAGAGCTTAAAGAATCTATTTTATTTTCCTCATCATTGTAACAGTCTCAGTGAGCAGATGCTGAAATGGAAAATTCTAACACTCACAATGTATTTAAAGAGCCAAACTTGGAAAGCTTACCAATTACAAAGCATTACAAGTGAACTCAAATAACAGCACAGAGTAACTTGGAGAATTCTGAATTACCAATAACTATCCTCAGTTTACAGATAAAAAGAAATACACAGAAGGTTAAATAGCATCTTTTTGATCAGGCAAAGCATGAACAAGACTCCCTCTCCTTACCGGTGAACCACATGCTTATTTACGTTTCTTAATTACAAGCACAGGCAGAAACACATTACTGTTAAGGCATATACCAGCATTAAAAAAAAAAAAGATGACAAAACAAGAACATGCAGTCGTAAGAACTTTTCTGTCTGCACATACAAACAATGATAGTATAGATGGACCACAATCCAATTAAATATTCACAACACAGACTGAGTTTATACCAGCAGTCTTTTAAGTTCAGTCCCACAATCCTGTTGAGGCTCCTCTGAACTGACAGTTGTAAGAGCTCATCTCCTCCCTGCCCAAGGCATGTGTTCTCACTCTTCATCATGCTGGCATCAGTGGTCCCTGGGCCAGCTCATTTAAGGGTCAGATGGATTAAAGTGGCAGACAACTACTCGCTTTTCCTTTCTTGGGTTAGCTTCTGCTGTTTCAGCTCCCTTATTGGAATCACCATGGAGTCAGACAAATGCCAGGGTCTACACAGGAGAGTGAGCATGACTGCAGCAGCACTGAGCTAGTTCAGCTGCAAGAATGGTGGTTCATTCCACTGCAAGTTTTTCCTCCCTCCCTACCAATAATTGATAACAAAGGAACAGAGGTAGGGCTGGGACACACACACATATTAAACCCTTTTAGACAAGTTTTTGTTTTGGTTTGGTTTTTTTTGTTTTTGTTTTGTTTTGTTTTGTTTTTTTTAAATAAACATCAACCTTGGCTTTTTAAAAATTTCAAATGTTAAATGACACTTCAATACCATTTCTTTAAAGACTTGCAAATAGTCCAAAAGGGGCACCTCGAAGTCTACACTTTTTAGAGCAACTGCTCCAAAACAGCAGCTTTTGTTTTAAACTGGGATACAGGCATGTGCTGTAACAGGGCATACAGCCATTCTGTGTGCACATTCATTTCACTTGCACATGTAAGCACGCCTCCAGGGTTTGGATTTGGAAAGCAGAAATATAAACAGAAACACTTTTGAAGTACAGTTGGCAGCTTGTGTTTCTGTGTACACTTTCAAATCTGGAAGACTGCCTGGAATAAATAGAATCAATTACATTCTTCGACAGTAAAAGGACTATAATTTTAAGAGAATTCTAGAGAAGTGTTATTTAAATCCAACTAAGGGTACATGCAAAGACTTCAGATGAATATTACACCTGCAATCCCTGACCTTCCAAAAACACCTTAAACTTTTTTTCCCCTGCCAAAAGCTTTGGGTTACCACAGATGGTCATACAGGACAAACTCAAACACCCCCACTGATCAAATCACATCCCTTACAACTCATTACAGCCTTCCCAATCCATTCAGCACATTCTCCATCACTAACCTTGCTGAGCACCCAGCCTAGAAGTGATCAAATTTTGAAACTGCATTCAAAAATAAATACACATGGAGAAAGAAAGGAGGAAATTAAATGACATACTTCCCAAAACACTGATTCCTATTTGCTCATTTATATAACTGATTTTCTGATAGGATAGAAATCAGCTATAGACTGATACAGCTGATCTAGTCCCTTATTTAGAATAAGGGCATTACAAGTTTAAAAAATTTGGGTTTGATAAAAATATGACAGTTTCATCACCTCACAGCACTGAATTTTGCAGAACTACAGCAGCATGGTTAACTCAGCTTCACGGTGTTGAGTATTCTACTACAAGTTACAGCCTACAATTACTTAATTTTCTAATGCCTTCTTGATGACATACAAATATGTTAACTCTGACAAGGTTTACATGAGACCACCATAAAGTCTGATGCTACTTATTCTGAAAAGAATTCCTTCCCTTTGAGGAACGACGCTTGGTGGGGGTGAAACTCAATATTGTACTGCAAGAGTTAATATTGGTCCCTAACACCAGTACTCAAAGAACTACTTTCTGTGTTCATAACTGAAGCAACCTAAGCTTGGGACAAATTAACTTGAGTCAAAAACCCACATATATTTTCCCCTAAAGACATCTGAGGCTACTGCAGCTGTTTTCACCACACTTTTACACATAAAAGCCCTGTGCATCTATAGCTCAGCAGGACACCCTGGCAGTATTTTTTCCGCTGTAAGTGTTTTTTGCACATTAACATTTTGCCAGCAGAATCTCAAACAGGAGTGTCACTGGTCTAAATTTTATGTGTCTTGCTAAAAGGAGGGACTGTTACTCTTCAGTACAGATGGAATCTACGTTAAAAAAACAAGTAAACAGGAAATTACTTTTCATGAGTTCTTCTACCAGAAAGTGTGGAGAACCCTTCTTTGCTAAAAGAACATCCATTTTTACAGATTATCTGTTTAACAGATTAGATTAAGCAAATTGATTTTCACCATCTAGAGATTACTCACAAACATTACACCAGCTCCACAGAGATATCAGTATTTGGCAATTCAGATATATATCTGTATCTGAATATATATATAAATATAA